AGCTAGTTTCTCTACTTTCATGACTCATCAAGAAAAGAAAGAATCGCTGTGGGGGAGTACAATAAGCAGATGCCTTGGAATCACATATCTGTGTACACATTCTGGTTCCATTATTTACTAGATGTGTGACTTTAGAGAAGTTACTTAAATAATCTGAGTTTCTGTTTCTCCTCAATACATGAGGCTAATAATCTCCTGGGGGACTCCTGTGAGGTTTAAAGACAATATGTGTGAAGCCCAATGCCTTTCACAGAATAGGTGCTTAATAAAGGTAACCAAAGTTATGAGGGATATGTTTTCAAAGTTTGCCTGCTTTTAGGTATCTTTGAAGAGGTTGATATTTCATCCTGAAGTCCCCATAACTTCTTGATTCTTTACTATCCAGCTTCCTTTGATGTTTACTATCACTTAAATTGGTTTTGAGTGACCGTATTATAAGCATTTCATCTGACTATTCAACAAATATTTACTGTTCCAGGTACACTTCTGATGTTAGGAATATAGCAATGAATGAAACAAAAATCTGTATCATAATAAGATTAGTAATCTAATGAGATGTAGACAATAAGAGCGAGCATATACGTTAGAATGTTGGTAACTGCTATAAACGAAGAAAGGACGAGGTGACTGGGAAAGTAGGGGATGGGGTGATGGTATATATATAAATGGGATGATCAGCATCAGCTCGCAGAGAAGGTGGCATATAAGTAAAGAGTTGAAGGAGGTGAAGGAAGGAGACATGCAAGTGTCTGAGGAAGGAATATGCCAAGTCATAGGGAAAGGCCAGCTCAGAAGCCTAGAGGCAGAAGCACACTTGGTACATCTGAGGAACAGTGAGGCTATTTGCGCCTGGAGAGGAATGAACGTGGGCAGAATAGGAGAGGCCATCAGAGGTTTAATGGGATCCAGATCACTTGTAATGACTTTGACTTCTGTTAGAAATAGAGCCCATAGAGCGTTTGAGTAGAGGTTCACTCTGGCTGCCATGTTGAGAATAATTAGGGGTTAAGAGTGGGAGTGAAGAGGCTAGCCCAATAGAAGGCAGCTTGGTCAAGGTGATAGCAGTGCAGATGGTGAGAAGTGATCAGAGATAGCGAATTTGCTGAGAGACTGAACATGGGGCTTAAGAAACAGAATTGTCGGGGTGCCTGGGTGGCTCCGTTGGTTAAGGGTCTGACTTTGGCTCAGGTCATGATCTCGTGATCCTTGGAGCAAGACTCGAGATGGGCTCCGTGCTCAGCAGGGAGTCTGCTTGTCCCTCTGCCCCTCCCCACCCCTTGTGCTCGCTCGCTCTCCCTCTCTCTCAAATATCTTTTTTTTAAAAAAAGAATTAAAAAAAGAAACAATTGTCAAGGATGACTTCAAGGTTTTTGGCAACTAGAAGAACAAAGCTACCATTAACTGAGGTGGGAAGGTAGAATTGAAGCAGGCTAGGACACATTCAGTTCAATAAATATGTCAGACATCTGGGGGGTGCCAGGCAGCAGTAGGAGATAGGAGTCTGAAATCTGGGAAGGAGTCTGGGCTAAGGATATAAAATTGGGAGTCACTTTCATAAAGATCATATTTGAAAGCTAGCAGACTGGATAAGATCACCAAAGAAGCTAAGTACAGAATGGAAAAAGAAGAGATCCAAGTAAAGGAGAGCCCTGGGGCACTCTAACAATCAGAGAGCGGGAAGGAGGGAGAACCAGCAAATGGACCAAGAAGGAGCTGCCAATGAAGATATAAGCCAACAACAGTAGGTTGTGCCCTTGGAGCCTAGTAAATTATTTCCGAAGGAAGAGGGGATAAGCATGTCAAATTCTCTTTGATAGGGAGAGTGGACTATTCATTGAGCAAGGGGAAAGTCAGTGATGATCTGGACACGACCAGTTTGGGGGAGTGGTGCGGACCCAGTGAGTCTAATAAGGAATGGGGGGAGAGAACTGGAGCAGTTCCCTCTCTCAAGTTTCACTAGAAAGGTAAGCAGAGACAGAAGGCACAGCTAGAACAGTCAAGGTATCTTTTGCTTAAAAAATGGGAGAAATAAGGGCGTGCTTGTATGCCGAAGGGTTTGTCCCAGTTGGAAAATGTGATAATGAGGAGAGGGAATGTGACCTAGTGCTGGATGGAAACAGCGCCCTGGGACAGAGACCCAGATGGTCCCCAGCTGCCGGCCTTCATAGCAGAGCCCGCCGCCTCCAGATGGACAGCACTGTATACATGAGGAAGAAACCCAACACATTCTGTTTTCCTGCTAAGAAGTATGAGCATTTAATGCTACTACCTCTGAAGGGAATGATGCAAGAGGGGAGAAAAATATCTACTTTATAGATAAGAAACAAGTTTAGATGACTTACCAAGATCATGCATGCATAAGCTCTTTGAAAACAAGTTTTGGAGAACAAGCTATTTGGGTAGAAAAATCTTGACTATTTTGCGTGTCTGACAACCTCACAACATTTGGTATTGTATCTTCTTATAACATGTTTAAAACTTCGGTCTAGCGTTACATAACAATTTCTATTTTTTCCCTTAAAATATATAGGTCCTCATCAATTTTCTCAACCTCTTTTATATCTCATGTTCCTTTTCCCTCACCCCTCCCCACCATGTGAGACTCACTGGCCCGTATTCCATAAATAGCAGAATGCTCAGATGCTGAGAACGCTACACTCACATCTTTAAGTTAAATCAACTTTCAGGCTATGAGAATCCCAAGTGTCCCAAAAACATTACTGGTTTTAGGCTCAGGAAGAAAATTATTAATGGTGATCTTTCAAGAGAAAGTTTAGTCTGAAAACTAGATTAATTTTATTATACAACTTAACGTAAGACATTCATTTTATTGTTTTCCTAAGTGCATGTGATTATCTGGAATATACAATCAATTCTACCAATTTATTATAAAGAGCACTAATCATATGTATAATTTAACCAAAATCTTACTGTATGTGATAGTAAAGGTTACAGATGATAAATGTTAAGAATTCAGAAAGATTCATTTGGGTTTTGATGAACTACCAGCTTTCAGTATCTCAAGGTAAGTGTAATCAATTCTCTATTCTGTCCTAAATTTCCATCTATGGCTAGAATCTGAGTGCTGAAGTTTACATACTAAATCACTCAACTTATTGGTCTAAGAGGTAATGGCTCTGAAATGTCAGTGGGCCAAAGAATCACCTGAGTGCATTCAAAATGCAGATGCCTGGGCCCTGCTCACAAATATTCCAATAAAGTGGGACTGAGCTAGTACCCAGGAATCTGAGTTTTTACAAGTGCCCTCATGGAGAAAGAAACATATTAGTAAAGACTTGAAGAAGGTAAGTGAACGAGACACAAGATGCTATAGAAAGCACTATTCAAAGGGTTTTCCCTGGGCAAGCACGAAACATTCTACTTTCAAGCCCCCGACAGGTTTAAACTATTTGTCCCATGATGAAACCACCCACTGCAGAGAACCCCGCAGCACTGGTCCACAAATCCCTGGTTCTCCGAGGTTCCAGTTTTGGAGTCAGAAAAACAGGGTGATCCTTGCTCGGGCTTGTATGCAGACCGCACCAGGCTGCAGAAGGGACCGGCTGCCACTCCCAACCTGTGCAGAAACATCCCCCTCGTCTTTTGGTGGAGTGCTTCTTTCTGCTTATGAACCCAGACACTTCCAGAAGACGGCTGTGGTCTCCCATGTAAACCGCACTTCTCCAGGAGACTGGAGCTCAGAGCAGCAGGGACTGCAAGCCTCTTTCTCACCCTGACTTCCTGACTTCATCCTTAATGCAACATTCTATTAAGTGTCATTAAGAAACATAATTAAAGATCCTATCCCTGCTGTCAATTTACAATATTACCTACAAAGATGATGAAATGAGCCAGGACAACACAGAAAAAAGTAGCAAACTTTTTTTTTTGTTTTTGTGGAGAGCTGTTTTCTAACTCTAGATGCCGTGAAAAGTGGCAGCGGGGCCTTTTGCCTTTGAGCAAAAACTGCTTTCAAGAACAACTGTGTTTTATTTCCTTTGGTACTTTTATTTACAAAAAAAAAAAAAAAATGAAAGGCAGGAAGGTAAAGTGACAACCCTGAAGCTCTTTGTCAAATTATGAGTAGAAATTATTCTCTGTGGCCCACTGTGTCCTATTCAGGAGGTGGAAAGGAATTTAAAAAACACGTCCTAGTTCGTCATCGTGCCTGCCCTTGAAGGGACTTACATTCTTCTTGGGAAGACGGGACAAAATGTATCAAAGGATAGACAAGTTACAGAACCAGAGATCACTTAAGATGAGGGACTTAAACTGGACCTCGAACACTGGCAGAGAGGAAGAAGGCTGGGGAAAGGCGTGAGGCAAGGTGCATGGCTTGCAAGCAAGCAATACAAGCCCAGCCTCGCTGAGGCACCTAGTCCAGCAGGCCTGCCCAGTGGGAGACGGCAGGCAGCCAGCCAGAAGCCTGGGAGCCATCCTGGGGAGACAGACAGCCCTGGACGTCAAGTCAAAGAGCTCAGAATTTGACAAGTAAGAACATTCAAAGAGTTTCACACAGTGCAGTCTTTGGGGATGTTAATCTGTTAGAGATGGAGATGTGTAGGATTGATGGGAACAGACGGTACTTGGGGGCAGTCAGAAAGCTACCAGAAAAACCCAGATCCCGGGTGGTGGAGACCCAGAGAGTAGCAGCACTAATTATTACTAGTTTTATAGGCTAGTTTCATAAAATCTAACAAAACTGAGTTGTGCTACAGATGTAACATCAAGATTTTTTAAAGGATGGTATCAAAATGAAAATTTGGGAGGTGTGTGATTGTTTTGAAACCTTCCCAGTAATCGATCATTTTTATGATCAACATTATGAAAGGGAAAGAAACGTTATTGTTTTTACATTTTACTTAAAAGACTGTGACTTGTACTTCACTTTCCATGTCCAGTCAGTTCTGCATTGTGCTTTCAGGCCCTGCCCCCAAACCGTCTTCAGCCTACTGATAGAGAGAAATCTGACTTCAAAAGTGTTCGGGAATGCAAGGAAAATGAAAAGCTTGGCTTACACTTAAATACTGGAAACTCCCCAAACTTGGCAGTGATCTTTTAAGTGTTCCAGATCACCTATTGTTCAAAATGCTAATGGATGAGTTCCTAATTAATCATCAGACAAGTAGAAGAAAACCTGTTTAACACTCAGAAGTAGAACTTCCCGGATTCTATCAAATAGCACATTCCTAGAGGAACAGTCTCTAAAGAAGTTGGTCTGAGTACCAAGATTTTGAATGAGCAGTAACGAAATGCCTCTAATTTATTACAGATGACTGCCTGGGAAGAGAGACAAATTGTTTAAACACATTTTTTTTTCTATTATTCTTGCGTTTGGGGCATGTCAAGGATGTGGACCATCTTGGACACATCCATGTGGAAACAGCACATTCTATCACCCCATAGCCAGGCAAGCCTCATTGCAGCGATTCCTCTGTCTGAGCTGGAAGAACTCTGGTTTTTTTACAGCTTACTTCTTGAAAACACAGTAAGGATTGCCAGTCCTAAGTGTTCATTCTGACCTGGTGTTTTGTAGCAACCCCTGTGTGTGAGCTCCTAAAGCACTGATGTTATTGAACCTTCTTTCCAGACTGAAGAAAATCTTTTTAAAAAGAGGATGTAGCTAAATAAGTGCCTTTTCCCCCCAGTCCATCTGTTCATGAGTGTGTGTGACATTCAGGATCACTAGTGGATCTTTGAATCCTAAATACTCAGTAACACATAGACTCTAGACTGTTCTCATCTGCAGCACAACCCACATGAGGGAAAATGTTTCTTTGGCCTCCCAGTTTCAAGAGAAATCATTGTCCCCTGTACTGATTTTCATAATCACAGAACAAGAGAAATACTACTCTCAGGGTTCCCTTCCTGTTTGGAGATCAATGTATCTATAAGCTTTGAACCTTCTATATCACAGTTAAAGCACAAATTCTCCACAACTCAGATGGGCAACATGTAAAATACAACTCTGTTAATTGATCCTTTGCCTTAAGGGATGTTAGGTATTGCCTTAGGGTTTTTGGAAGACATATGGCAAGACAGAACTGGCCCCTAACATCGTGTGTATTAGCCTAAGAACACTGGGATGAATTCATAAGGTCAGTGCCTAGGAAGCATAAAACTCACATCCATGTTACATGCTCTATATTATATTAGGGGGAATGACTTCAAGTTGGAAGTTTTTGTTCTTACAAACATTTATTTTCTTCCAAATTTACTGTGTTTCTGTAATGCTGTGAAAAGTCTTCACTTCCCTTTTCCCAAGTGTTGAGGTTCAAAAAGCCAGCTCTCAACTATAGACTAATCTTCATCTCTTCAATGTCTTGTATGTTGACTTAGTTTCATATGTAAGTATTTATATTAGTTTTCCTCAGGGATTTATACATCAATATATATATATATATATTCCTACACAGATATATACAAGCTTTTTATCCTCATCTTACCACTTGACAATACAACTTTAAGTATGTTTTACACAGCTGTTCCTTGGTCAAGGTCATTTGCAAGAGCAAGTCGGTTTCTGAAGAAATCTTGTTTGGTGGGTGAAGGATCCATTGAGGGATTCTCATTAGTTTTTTCCCTGTATTCTGATCCACTGGACCTAAAATCTCAGCACACAGATAAAGTACAGGTTGATTTGGTTTTAATTGTTTTCAGATATTTTATCCAAATTGTTTTGCATTTGTAAAACAGTTGCCTCTTAGATCTGGAATAATTTTTACTTCCCTTCAATTTCATGACTCAGGACACGTGTAACTAAAATTTGCAACGAACATAAAGAGAATATCTTTCTAATGCTTTATGGAGACAATTGTGACAACTGTGTATGTTAGTGTAAGATACTGTGTATAACGTTGTGAAAGGGAAATAAAAGCTCAGAAAATTTAGGAAATCCTATTTTTGATTCAACCAAGTAACTACTCCACAAATTACCAAGGCCCTTAAATTAAAATGGATGGAATTCATTGTTCTCAACCAAGGTTATCTATCAAGGGCCATTACTGAATTTGGGCATTACATTACAAACTCTTGCTTTTGCTTGTTTTCATTTTTAAATGAAAGATTTATTGAAGCCAACCACACATATATGCTACATTTGATAGAATGCAGAAATTAGTACAGTAGTCAGATTGAGGAGATTCTATAATCTCAACCACCACAAAGGAGACCAAGCCCAATCAATAGTCAACAACTCAAATCAGTCCAATTGAGTCCCCAGTCGAGGGTGCATTCTTCCTTTATCTTGGTTAAGCCAGTTGGGTAATCCATTCCAGCTCTGCACCTTCTCCAGTTTGTTCATGTCAGAAGTCCCTGGAGGGAGGAGGCTTTCTGGAAATAACCTCTGATAAGCTAGGCTGGGGCCCTTTGGCTAACTTAAACTCCGAGCTAGAATGGGTAGAACTAGCCCACTGACTAAGAACCAATTATCAAAAGACCTCATGCAGGATGTATGGAAGTGATATTAGACATGAAGTTCTTTATCCAAAGCTCCTATACAACTGAACAAGTTCTCCATATGCTGAGGCAGAATCAGGCATCCTTCCACTATCCACAAAAGAAGGATAAGTTCTTTTACTGTCTTTGGTATGCTACGAGTCCTCACAGTCGTTGTTAGATAAGTTAATTGTGACTCTATAATTTACTGAACTAATTGGGCAGAATTCAAACATCCCTCTACATTATTCAAGGAAAGAAGTTGGATCCACACAAAGACTAAAATCTTGATGTCTGGACACCTAATGACTGACTGGATTTTTTTATTATTCACCCTGATACTTGGTATCACAGATGAAGCCAGAGCTGCCCACCATGTTTTCTACTTCCGGTCAGGAAGAAGCACTTTTCCACTACACCCCAGTGCACAGAAGGAAAACTATTCTTTCTCTCAACACCAGTCCATCTGCGTACTCATCAGATAAGATTATATCTTATCTGGTAGGGTGAAAGTCCTATTCCTTTTCAGAAGCCCCCTTGGAACTCTCCCTTGAAACAGGCTCCACATGCCCCACCCTAAAACTCCACGCCTCTTCTCAACTCAGAGTTCCCACCTACCTACAGTTCAAATCATCCCTGATTAGTACAGTTATGCCCAAAATGTTAGGAAGATATATTTTTGACACTTTTATTCTTTCCCCATATCTTCTTCTATCCAGAAGGCTAGGAATGCCTATAGTTTTGGGGGTGGGAAATAAGAAGCAAGATTCGAATCTGGCTGGTGTTTCTTCTGAATGGTTCCCCCATATGGCGGTTTCTCATCAGAAAATCATTAGTCAAAACTTAAAATCTTTACCTCACATTTCCCCTCTTAGCTGCATCTGATCTCTCCAAAACCCAATATGTCATACTTTGATGGTTCCAACATGCAACTGTTTAGTGTTTACCTGGAAATGGGAAAGCTTTGATGTCACCACCAGCCCCAAGGACCACAGAAATCTTCACCAGTTGCGTTCCCATTTCTGAAACAAATGCCAAAATCGCCCTGTCTAGTTTTCAAAGTCCACAAACTCAGCTTAGTATTTTCTTTTTTTAACCGCTCTTCTCACAAACCACTTTCTCGGTGTCTCCAAGTATGTGAATTTCTCTGCATTTCTTGATATTAACTATTAATTAACTAATGACTAACTTGCTAATCCTTTTCAAAATCCAGCATTCTACTGTAGCCATGACTATAAGCTTATTTTTATCCTTTTAAAGATAATTTTAACCGACCTCTTTGCAATGCTTACATAGTATGTGGCCACTTGGACTCTTCCAAATGTGTGGCTATTAGGCTTGGAAGTAATGTGTACCTAAATTACTGGGAAATAACCTGCAGAATCTAGGAGAAGGGGCCAGTGTATTTGCTTTTATTCCCTTCATCTATAAAACAGAAATGGCTTTTGAGCTCCTGGGGCCATTTTGGTCAACTGCAGGGCAGATCTGAGCAGACACTAGAGGGACAGGCAGGCTAATGCTTGCTGGATAAGCATACAGTGGCTGCCAGGACATTCTGACACATAGCCATCCAAGTGTTTGATGGAAAGAGAATAACCTGTTGCTACGTTTCCTTCCACTTAGTCCACAGAGACAAAGAAAATAACAAGCTGGGTAGATCATACAAGTATAGATCTGCTACAAATAAGCCTTGCAAGTTTATTTGGAGCTGGGGAAAGGAGGAAGGGGAGGAATCCAGTGCCGTGGAACCCTCTCACCTAAGAAGGGCTGGTTTTCTGATTGGAAAGACTGTCTGCTATGAAAGCTTTAGGAGACCTGCACATGGAAAAGTAAGGGAGCAGGGGAACACCCATCCTGTCGCCCAAATCAGTCAGTCCTGGTAATCAACAGGGTGACAAATGAGCATTCATATACTGTATGTTTGTTGAGTGCTTACTATGTTCTAGGTACTAAACCTTCAGCTAGGTTACCCTTACCTTTGAACTGTAAGCTTCTAATGGGCTACAACTATGTCTTTTACTTCTTTTGTGCTAGACAGAACCTAGTACCCTAAAGACCCTAAGTTAAGGGTCTGACACTCGACACTAAGTTAAGTGATGGATTTCAAATGACCTATTAAGACACATTTGTAGTGAGGTTTAAGTCATCTAAAATGTTATGCCTTCAATCATCTCCTTTAATTTTGAAGTAATGTAGGGAAATGAGATGAGAGAGGAGCCCGGAGTGGGTAAGAAACGGGAGAAGGACTTGAGATAGGTTGTGAGGAGGTAAAGAAGAAGGTGGGGTAAATTATCAATTAGTTCTTTAGTAGTCCTGTTTTCTATTATGTGCTCTGTTCTATAGCCGAGGCTGGGCATATACAGAAACAGCTGATAAGACACCAAAGAAGAGGACTCATGGATGTTTGGTTACATGGGGCCCTGTAGAAGTATGCTGTGTGTGTGTGTGTGTGTGATTAAGAAAATAGAGAGATTTTGATGTGATTGGTGCAGGGAGGGTGATGATGTAGGAAGGAGACAGTCTAAGGTATATAAGTTATAAAATGTTAAAGAGGAAGAGAATGGGTGAGGAAGCAGAATTAATCAGTTGGAAGCCATATTTTTTTATTCCACTCCCCCAAATTTGAGGATAAAAAGAGCCTCTATACTCTCTACCCCTAAACTGTCTTACATAATCCTCTTCCTCCATGCCACACCCCAACCAAGAATACTTATTAAACTAAGTGCAAGATTTATATATAAAGATAAAGTAGTATTTGCCTCACACTTCAGAGTAGTCTAGATGTAAGTCTTGAACAGCCTCCATATTCAACCTTCCAGAATGGGACAGTTTGCCTTACTCCCTACTCAAAGGCAGAGAGATAAGGATTCAGTCCAGCATCAGCCTATCACATTAGATCTGTTCCTGGCTTCTAAGGATCTTCGTTTAGAATTTTTAAAGTCACTTAACATTTTCAAGCTTTAGATATGTAGTCTTTATTCTGATCAGTTCTGGGCAGCTTTCAGGGACATGTGACCTGGTATCTACCCAGGACAAATGTGCCTGAGACAGAAATAATCAGAGCATCATCCTTTTCCCCAAATATCTTGGGCATTTGGGGGGATTTTTTTTTTTTTTTAATGATGTCAACTTGATCTCCCTTTTGAATCCTTGTGGGTCTGAGCATTCGGCCCTCCCAGCCTCAGAGGGAGGAGAACCCTTTCTCAGGTTTTCTGTTGCATCTGGCTCCATGCCTAGCTTCATCCTGAAGCAGCACTCTGGGTGTGTGGGGCCACCAGCCAAACAAGCCCCTATGGATACAAAAAGGGTGTCAGTGTAGACAGGAATGAGCCTCCAGAGGGCTGGGGGGGAGGCAGGCAGTGAGCCCCAAATGTGACACAGGTGGTTTTTCTGGCACGAGTCCATTTTGGACCTCTGAGGCCAGGTTGTGGCATGGTTCCAGTACCCAGGATTAACCACTTCTTAAAGTCACAGGGCTTGCTGCCAGCCTGACTCTCGACACATGGGAGGAGAATGAGCTAAATGTCTCTTTCCGGTTCCTCCCTGGATCTGTCCACATGCCTGACTTCAGAGTGCAAGTTCCTTTGTAACAGCTGGGACTATGTCATTCACGATTCCTATACAAGTGTCCCACACAGCACGTGCAAAGAAGAAGGAAGGCTTCACTACTGAGAAGAATGGTGCGTTCTCAACTGAGTTAAGAGCCGCTGACCTTTCTGTGCTTCTCTGGGACTTTCTTGCCCTTCCTCTCTATCATAGCATAATGGAGCAAATGTCCCACGGTTCTTGCATGAGAACACTCAGGAGAAGCTACTCAGGCTGCTTCTTTATCCTGCGCAGAGTCCCAAAGCGCCCACCGCAGCTCCCTGACCCAAGGCGATACGCAAGTATCACCTGGTGGTGCTCACGATCCTACCCCAGATGTTCAAAGCCAGGAAAGCCTGCCAGAGGGAGCAGCTCTGTGGTACCCCCTTTACTTCCATTCATATACCACTTCAGATTTTAAATACAAAGGCAGCAGCAGGGTAGGTGGCAGCATTGTGATTGATGCAGGAGAGACTGATCTATGAGAAAGGATAAGAGGACTAAGGAGACCCATTTAACCCTCTAAGAAGGATCTCCAAAAGGTGCAAGAAGACTGAAAGCAATTAACCAACATGAATTTAGAGAGTCCACAGCTAGTCCTCAGCATTGTGCCAAGGGCTGGGGGCGGGGGGTGGCGGTGGTGGGAGGGCTACAGAAAGATAAAATCAGGTCTTCCACATGGTGAGTCTTTAAAATTATAGGTCCCAACGCCATATTAATTTCTTGTTCCAGGTGTTAAAAAGATGTGATTACTCAGATTGATCTAAAACAAAGCCAAAGTACAGATAAAGCAAATCTCAGCACTAGAAAGGACTCAAGTGCTTATCTTGGGCAATTTCCCATTCAGTGCAGGAATCCCTTCCATTAGCATCCCTGACCAGGGTCATCTAGCTTCTACTCAGGAGAACCCACTCCCTCATGAGGCAGCCAGCTCCAGTTCCAGTACCTGCATTTTTAGAAAGTTCTTCCTCTTACCCACCACTCCTAGTTCCGCCCCCTTGATACAGGGAGGCCAAGTCTACTCCCTCCACCTCAAGTAACTGGCAGAGCATTTTCTTACATCGCTCTGAAAAATGGGAATTTGTAAAGGAACCAGCGGTGAATCCATGGCTCACTGTTTTCCGACAGACCCACTCACTATAAATGGCAGTGGGCAAAAAGTGGCTCTTTGTCTGGGAATACTGTGGTCTAAAAAAAAGATAGGCTGAAGCAGTGCCTATCTTAGGAGTCCTTTAGAAGGATTCAGGAGCCTAAATCCAAGAAAAATCTAATCTATGAACATAAAGAGAGGGATAGGAGTCTTAACTCCTCACCCCCTGCATAAAGGGATCTAGCAACAGACATGTGTCCCTTAGCAAAACTGAAAGAGGACTTTGTGGAGTAGTACTGTGTCTAACTGCAATACTCTTGCTCTCTTCCTCTTCCTCATTCTTCCAGTAACAACAGGCAGGGACCCACACTCACAGATCCTCTAATCTCAGTACCACCCTCCCCATGGGAGAAAAATTAGACAAACCTTCCAAAAAAGTCCTCACTCCAGGCCTGCCCCCTTCCATCGAGACCATTATCTAAATCAGCCAGTAACTTCTACCCTCAAGGAGAAAGTGATGTCCCTCAATTTCCTCACTTATCAGCAACTCTCCAAAGGCAGTTAGAGTGTCTTTAACTTTTCCATCCACTAACTGTTTAAAACTGACTGCAAGAACCTCCTCTCCCAAGAGAAACTAAGTAGCAGGGAAAATCTCTCTAAGGGAGGGGGAGGTGGGGTGTGAGGACCAGTGGAAATAAGAGACAGTAGTCTCCCAGGCAGGCAAAGGCTAGACTGGAGAATCTCTCTCAGGTCAAATGCTAAATGCTTAAATCTCTCTTCCCTACATTTCATGCTGGGGTCTGGCCACCATCTCCCAGTCTGTAAGACAGTGCTGATAAGTGCTGGCCAAAATGCCTAGTAGGTGATTTCCTACAACAAGGACTTAGAGTCTTAGAAGGACCACAGAAGGGAAATGTCTTGTTTTGGCCTCTTATGGAGTACAGAAACTCCATTAAAGTGATTTTTTTAACTAGGGCCCAAGTCAAATCCATTCCATCATTTCTGCTAAGGAAAACACTAGCAAAAGTCCCAATAAACATGTACTATAAACATATAGTTATCCAGGGTAACTATAGACTCCTACAGGCAGAAACGCTGAGATGCCTTGGAAAACTTTCCACAGGTGGGGAGATTTGGATGGAGCATCCATTACACCCAACTCCAACAGTGGACCCCAGGCCTCCCCGTCTAAAAGGATTTGATTGTCACCAGCTCATTACCCTGGGGACCTCCTCAGCTTACTCTTCTCAGACACATGACTTTGGGAACAAGGAAGTGGAGCTAAAAGAGGCAGAGACAGGGCTGAGTTTGCTTTTACTCTAGGAGATTACAGTGAGAACTCTTCACCTGATGGGATTCGGGATTCGTGGCTACTGGCTGCAGGCACTGAGCTTGAAGCTGTTGTGTGAAACCAGGCTACTTAAACCTTATTACTGTTAAAACCTCCAGACTTAGCCCAAAGGGAAATGAATTACAATGCTGTCTTGTCTAAGGGCTACTCACTTCTTTTTAAAGAGCTTGCGGAAGGAGCTGCGAAAGCCCCCTTTCTGGTCTTGCCTGGGGTTTTGATCGCTGAAAGATGTTTGTTCGCTTTCTCTTTCTTCCTTTGGACAGAATCTGGTGGTGTCTTCTAAATGCATCTCCTGAAAATACAAAAGAGGGATGTTTATTTACTCTTTCCAAAGTTAACCTTATCCTGACTGGGACAATTTTTTTTTAACTTTGTCACTTTCCTCTCCCACCCCACAGACTAACGGTGAGCACCCTATCCCAACTAAAGCAAACCTAGGCTAATTAAGAAATGAGAAGTTGAAAAGAGGATAATCTGCTAAGTGCAGAAGTATTTTGTATGTATCAAGGCAAACAGTCTTAGAGTAGGTTTATGGTATAAAAATAATTAAAGATCAGGACATAAGGGGAGTTAGCGAGTATCTAAAGGCCATGGAGACTAACTTCTTATTCTGGCACCAATCCTGTCTTGCTGGAAAACAAGTAGGGGGCCCCTCTCGTCTCTGGGAATGTTTCTCTTTCTACAAAATAAGGCAGTTCCTTCATTGTAATGCTAGTTTTAAACTCATGTTCCTAACTCTCCATTTTAGACATAAACAAGGGAAGGAGGTTTTGCGGGGTCAGATCTGTTTAGAAGTAGATGCCAACTGTGTCTATATGGGCACGTACGTGCATGTGTCTATGTGTACCCGCCACACACTTCCAACCTGCAAATACAACTTCGATATAGTTTTTGGCATTCTTAATTCGTGGTATGTGCAGTGTAAGGTAAAAATTAATAAAAAATAAGGCTCTATCTTCTGTGAACTTTCTAGTTTCTAAGTGTGAGATGTGCTAAATAAAATAGATATGCACTTATATTTATGTCCATATAAACGAAATATTTACTGTGAGGTGACTGAGACTTAAAAGCAACCTAAAATAATTTAGTTGCTTCATTTTGAACCTAAGAAGAGAACCCAAGGAGTCAAAGCAAAAACCACCCTGAAACTTTCATGAATTGGATGGGTGACTGCTTGCTGACAGTGAAGTGAGGCGTGGGGAAGATTTTTTTTTTTTTTTTTCAGGAAACATGGGTTTGACTTTGAGAATTTAACCTGGGGTTACAGTAGCAGATCTAGAGGTCCTCTAAGACGCTACTAAGATTCATTATTAAACTATGGAGAGCACATCTTGATGGCTTAGTGTGGGGTTTCTCAAAGTGTGGTCCTGGGGCAACAGGATCAACTGGGGCTTTTATTTAAAATGTACAGCCCTGAGCCCCAACCCAGACTTTCAGAATCAGAAACTCTGGAGTTAGGTCTAGGTAATCCTTATGCACACTTTAATTTTAAAAACCAGTGGTTTAAGGTATGGTCCTGCCCACCTGCACTTAATGTTTATATGCATCGCCTGGGAATCTTGCTAAAATGCAGACTCTGATTCAGTAGGTCTGGGGTGGGGCCCAAATTCTGCAATTACAATAAGCTCCCAGGTTAATGAATGCATTTACCACTAGTCTAAGGACCACATTTTGAAAACTGGGCTTTTAGGGACTGTTTAGGAACTAAATATATTAAGTTTAAGGAAAATCTCTCTGTGCAATCATGATCTTGATAATATCTTGCATTTGTATAGCATTCCATACTTTACGAAGCATATGCACATACTTTATCTTATTTGGCCTGATGCCCACAACAACACTGTGAATTAGGTAAGGTATATATTGTCTTAATTTTACAGATGAGAAAACTGGAGGTACAGAGATGCCAAGTGAATTGTCCAAAAGCACGCAGCTATTTGGCAGCAAAGCCAGGACTAGAACCCAGATCTCTTGACACCCGGGTAGGTGCTCTTTGCACCAAAGCATGCTGCCTTCTTTCCTGACTCTTAGAGACAGGGTTTAGCTGGCTCTGAGGGGCAGGGGTGGAAGATACACAGAGTATATTTAAGGAGATGAAATAGTAGGAGCTTTATACATCTCAATAGGAAAGAGCTGACACCTTTAAAGATAGGGCTTTTGAAGGGTTCATCTTTCGCAACCAAAACCCCATCTCACTCCCACCTCAACCACTCACATACAAACACGCACACATTACACATATATACACGTACAGATGCCTGCCCACATACACACATGCACACACATACCCACACACAGCCTCTGCCCACCTGGACTTTGCATTCCACCTTCTCTCTAGGATTCCCAACAAACCACACCTTCTGAATTTTTAGAAAGAAAAAGTTTTTGTCCAAAAACAGAAATAATAAGGTGAACTTTGTGTGAAAAATTCACATGCTTGAAAAATTTACCGATAACTGAAAGAGAAAAGGCCTCTTTTAACTGACCTCTATTTGACATCTCCTTAGTGTCACTTTCTGAACCGACTTGACTCATGTCTGACACTGTAGGGGATGAAACTTGCTGTCCAGGATGTCTGATTAACAGTACCTAATATACTGTTTATTGTTATCTGGTATGTCTGATAAATAGCCACAAATATTTTACTCATCGTTTGCTTCTCAGATATATTGTTATTTCTGATTGGTTTTTTTTTCCTGTCAATTGTTGAACTCCCATTTTTTCACATATTAACTGGGGGAGAGGAAGACTTTTATGAACATGTGAAATAAAAGCATTCTTTGCAGCATAGACTATACTAGTTAGAAGGTTTTATATGTTAATCTCTGCCTACTTCAAGTCAATTTGAATTGGCATTATTATTTCCTACCTACTTCCCTTTTTAGTGAACTTTTTAACTTTGACACATGCCTAAGATTGATTTGCCTAAGAAATTTTGCCTAACAGAATTTTGTGAAGTTCAGAGTTGCAAATCAAAGCCAGAAAAAAAATCTCAGAACTCTGGGGAATCTCAGCAACTTTAGCGGAGCGTACGAAGGTCCCTCTTCAGGAACCAGTCAGACTTTGATTCCTGGAGTCTAGATGGCTAGCTACCAGCTCCAGGACTCTTCATGACCCAGCCCCTTTCTGTTCCTCTGGCCTGATGGCCACCAGTCCTACCTGGCACAGTATTCAAGAGGAAAAGCATCACCCTGCTGTTTTTTAAAGACTCATGAGCCTTTTTCATATTTCCCTGCCTCACTCTTCACCTAGGCAGCTTTTAAAATTGAATTCAGACATTCAATTTATCCAGGAGGCCCTGTCCACCATCACCCCCAGCAGCGTTTAGATACCCCTCCCATGTGTTCCCACAATTTATTATAATTCTGTGTTTCTGTGTTCCCTTCCTGCAACAAGCCAGTGGTCCTGGAGGGCAGAGACTTAGGTGCCATTCATTTCTGAACCCTCAGTCCTTAGCTCAGTGTCTGCTGAAAAATGAATGAATGAAAGGAGTCAGTGATCCTCAGTCTGTCCCCACTCGCTTGGAAATGGGAATAGGTGGATTATAGGGCCCTTATTCCTGGAAAAACCTCCTTTAGTCTAGGCAAAAGGTCTCCAGAGCTTGATACAAGTTAGTCCTAGACTATATCATTTTCAAGATGTACCAAAGCAGAGCTGCCCTGTAAACCGTAACCACTACTCTTAAAACGAAGTTAAACAGAAAGGATGGTGGCAGAGGTCAGAGCTATCCTGTTACTCTCTGCTTGATCAGAAATTGCGTTGTTCCAATCACATGCAGAGAAATTGTTTGCTCAGGAACTACTAGCCCTTTCCTGGATATGTACTTAAACACCCCTTTAAACGTCCCAAGGCTTGCAGAGAGCAAGGTTGGACATCAAAATACTAAACACTGATACGGACGCCAAAGAAGGTATTTGCGAGTCCACGCCTCCTTGACTATATTGTGTTGTCTCTGTCCCAGTGGAATCTGCAAAGCAACGTGACACCCTTTCCCAGTCACATTTGCCGCAGACTTTGCAGGGAGTCCACAGTGGGTCGGGGCAACCTGCCTCCTCCCTAGCTACAAGCAAGGCCAGTGCGGGTCAGGGAGAGGGGCAGGCCGGCACACGGCGGGGTTCTGTATTTTGAACACTTCCACGAGAAGGTGCGCCTGGCCAGGCAGAGGACGAAACAGGTCTGGGACTAGCGTGCAGGGTTCTGAATGTGAAGTGCAACTGTGAGGTGCCACGGCTTAAGCAGCAAGAGGGAGAACACCCCTAACTCTCTGTACGGGGGAGGTGTGGGGCAGGGTGGTGACGGTGTAGACAGGTCTGGGAGTCCGTCTTCTCTGCTGGCTCCTTGCCGTCACACATACGCACGCAGGACACGCCCTCGTGCCCTGGCACTGCAGAGCGGGCGCTCCTGCTCGCCTCCGGGGCACCTGACCCACAAGCCTCCGACGGGGCTCTCCCTCGTTGCCTCCGCTCCCCCTCCGGCCAGCCCGATTTCCCCTCCACGCTAGGGGAGCCCAGGCTGCTCCCTGGAGATCTAGGCCCGGGGCTGCCGGCGCTGTGGGTTTGGGTGCGGTTTTACTTTACCCTCCTTACTTCCAAATAGGTCTGCTTTTCGCTTTGGGACCTCTGTTGGGGGAAGAAGGTCCTGGGCGCGCCGCGGGCGGCCGCAGCCGCGGCGGCGGCGGCCGGGCCGTGCGGCTGCGCGGCGCGCTCGGCCTTGAGCGGCGCGCGGCCGCCGCTGCTGCTGCGCGTGCTGTAGAGGCGCGGGGCCACGCCCTCGGCGGGCGGCGCGCGCGGGAACTCCTTGAGCGAGCGGCTCAGCGGCTTGGCCTTGCCGTGCGCCTGCGCCGCCGCCTCCAGCTTGTAGGCGCCGCTGCTGCCCGCCGGCGACGTGGCGCTCTTGGGCAGCGGCTGCAGCGGGTGCTCGGGCCGCTCGGCCTCCATGGCGAAGCTGACGGGCCGCAGGAAGCAGATGTCCAGGCTGGACTCGGAAGAGGCGGGCGAGCAGTTCTCGAAGAGGGCCGGGGCCTGGTACGGCTCCTCGTCGTAGGGCGCGGGCAGCGCGAAGATCTCGCCGCCGTACTCGAACTCCTCGTAGCCCGCGGGCACGAAGCCGCGGGGGTCGGGCAGGAGCTCGGCTGGGGTGCGCAGGGAGCGCTCCACGTTGCCCAGCGGCTCGGCGGGCGAGGGCTCGAAGTCCATCTCGGGGATGGCCTGCAAGGGCCCGGCGAGCGCCTTCACGTCCTGCTCGGCCGCACAGAACTGCGCCGGCGCCAGGAGGCTCTCGGGCCTCTCGTGCTTTCTGCCCTCCATCTCCCACTCACTGGGCTTCCCAGGCTGCATGCTCTCCATCAGGCTTTGCTGTTGTTGGCTTTTCTTAACTGGGGCCATCAAATGTCTTTAAAGGGGAAACAGAAAACAGAAGAGGTGTGCTTACGGCTGGTTAGTGCAGGCCTCTCCCCGCAGCTCGAGGCCGGGAGCAACACGCGCCTGCCAGCTACCGCTTAGGCGCAGAACTGCCAGTTCCTCTCCTCTCCGCCCCCCCGGCGCCTACGTGCGTCACCTACCAAGCTCCACAGGCTTCTCCAGCTAAGGGAGTCCCCATGAGCCCCGGTCGCCCACGTGGGAGGGTGAAAATGCCATCTGTAAAGCAGAGGACCGGAGTATCCGTCCGAGCAAGGAGGCTGTGCACAGAGATGGCAGGTCAGCCAAGGACGGTCATCACTCGGCACGTGGAAGCTCTGACCCGCCCACCGCGTGTCCAGAGCCCCAAGGTACCTCATTTTCTCTGCTCTCCTTTTTTTGCCCTAGCAGTATGATACAAAATAATGGAAAGAACTCGTCTGACTTGCGGATCTTCACGCTTAAGAACAATTAAACTGCTGAACCTGGATGATGGTATATGGGGTTCACTGTACACTGTACACTTTACTTTTGTATATATTTGGAGTTTTCATAATAAAAAACTAAAAAATTTTATGGCTATAGAGCATGCTCTATAAAGTCGTCTCAAACTTTCACCGACAAAAACAACCACCAAAATGAAAAGGCTATCACTTTAAATAAGCCCAATTACATGTTTAATCATGAGTAATGAATAATTTACATAGGATATTAGGGTAGCATACACATCAGATTGGATGGGATTTGCCAGTTCTGGTGGAAGGTAATTGCCAGGCAGATGTGAGTGCATGACTACACACTGACCCGACCTTTTATTTATAGTTTATTAATTCTACCACAAAAATGCGTTAAAAGGGCAGATGTGTTAAAAAGAAAAAACAGATGCAAATACTGAGTATCTTTCTCTGGTGATCTTAAGATGAAAATGAGGTCTCACACTCAAAAGGTGAAAAGAAATGATAAAATGAAATATTGACCTAACTTGAATCATCTTTTCACTTGGAAAACAAATTTTTTACTGGCCATTTTCCCAACACAGAGTGCAATGGCAACCATCTTTTTGGTCTGGCTATAATCTCTAGGGATTTCATTTTTGGGGGGTCTATTTGTTGCACTTCAAAGAAGATAGCTTTATTGTTGTTATAAAACCTGAAGTGACCCACAAAGTAAACACTCTCTTCCTGCCTATCTCTCACTCTCCACCCAGGAAAGGTATTTTTTCTGTATGGAGTTCTCCCCTACAGGATTTGTGGGATTTTCTCTATAGGAAGAAAATCTTCCTGGGCTCTATTTATAGAAAGGTTAATGTCTCATAGGTCCAAAATGATTATGGAATCTCTCTCTCCATATTTGTACTTCTGTCTTTCAGTGATACATGTTCAGTTTTAAGAGATGAAGGCAGAAAGAGGAAACAGTTTATTTTGCTTTACTGATCAGATACTCCTTACAATGATTGTAATTGGCATTTTAAAAATTGGAGTGATTAAAAATTGAAATAATCTCAGTTGCCTACCCATTACTTCATTGTAATTTTAGAAAAGTAGCTAAAACTTCTAATTTTCCTTAAAATAATAAAACCCAAAGTAGAGATTATAGTCTAAGGAATTACTTTTGTGAGAATTGTATTTGACAGAGTGGTGGGTTTGGAATTTTGAGTTTTAGTTTCCCTTATCTTTCCAGAAATCCTGATTGCAAAAGTAGCTAATTTGACTTTATCCTTATCCTTCAGAGGTAGAGTTCCAAATAGGGCGCCTGGGTGGCTCAGATGGTTAAGCGTCTGCCTTCGGTTCAGGTCATGATCTCAGGGTCCTGGGATCGAGTCCCGCATTGGGCTCCCTGCTCCTTGGGAGCCTGCTTCTCCCTCTGCCTCTCTCTCTCTCTCTCTCTCTCTCTCTCTCTGTCTCTCATGAATAAATAAATAAAATTAAAAAAAAAAAAAGAGTTCCAAATATATATAAATGGCCTAATCCTTAATGTAAAAATCATCAAGAAGTTTGATGAATAAGAATCCAGCTTAATGTGCTAGAGGGTTGTGTGCAGAGATTTTAAAAGGCTGTCAAATACATCCACTGCACAAAACAGCTTTAAGAGAAGCTGTCATAAGTGAAGAAAAGAACTTACAAAATCCCTTTCTGAAGAAGCTTCAAGGGGAATTGGGAAGGGCTAAACAGCATTCTTTTTGCATCACCTCAGGCCTATTTCTCTTCTCAGAGTCTTAACTTCCATTGACCCCTGACTGGGATTCTCTTTCCCTCTACTACACCTTTTGGAGAACTTAAGTGTGTTCCCACCCTTCTGAGGAGCTATAAGATGCCTTCCTGTCTTCTTGTGGCCCTTTCTTCTACTCAATCATTGTCTAAACCCAAAGAAACTTATGCTGTAGGTAGAGGGTAGTTATGTGTGATAAAATTGTTAGGAGTAGCCTTCAGCCTCTAGGCCTGCCCCTTTACATTAGCCTTCCTCTGGGATCTAACCATTGGGTCAGCTGCTTGCCTGCTGTATATAGGACTGATGGAGCAAGAGGGAGGGAAGAGTCCTGTAGGTCATACTCCTGTTCCAGGCTGTCCTGCTACCCCATGCAGATGACTTGGCACCCAAGGGCATTGCCATATAACCTTTCCATAGCAACAAGTGCTTACGTGACAGCAGGGCCAGAACTGGGAGCAGAAGGGTAGGGTTGCAGTATCTCTTCTGAGTGGATCCCACTGTCACGGACAGCCTCGGGGCCTGCAGTAGGGGAAGCATCTTGTCCAGTATTTGCACACTGGGAAGCCAGCCCTTTGTACAGCTTTGCCATGGATGACCTATGAGAATGGAAGTAATAATTTTCAGGGTGTATAGTGGGAAATTGGCTCTGAACACAGATTATGCCAAGAAAGATAAGGAGACAATATTTCTCAGCTGAAGCTCAGCTGTGAAGTTCTCTCTCCCTTTCTCCCTCCATGGTCCTCTATAAACCAGGTTGTTTACATAGATGCTGGGCAAGAATAGGGATGCTGATTAATTTCCTGAGTTAAGTTTGAGGGAAAAGGGTGGTATAGGAAGATGTCCTCCATTAGAGGAGCACTAGCTTGGGAGATGGCATCTTTTTCTCGTCTCAAACATCCACAGAAATGATTGTTTTCTTCATTGGGCTGGGATGAGGTTGAAGGAAATCCAGGTCATTAGGAAATTCTGTTATGGGTTGTTTCTGTTCCTTCTCAAGCCCAGATTCTCCCTAGTCAGCTCTTATTGTTTCTTTTTAGTGTGAAATTTGTTCAACCACCACCCTTATTTGTTTTGTTTTTATCCATAGCACTTACACCATCTATTTATTAACTGGCTGTCCAGCTCTAGAAAGTAAGCTCCACGTGGCAAAGATTTTTGGTTGTTTTGTTCATTGCAGTATACTCAGTACATAGATACGTAGTAAGTGCTCAATAAATACTGTTGAGTTCATGAAAGAAACCACATTCTGGCCTTTAAACTGCACTTTTTTGACCTGGCAAGCTTAGGGAAACAACTATTTTCAAGGTGGTTAATAACACAAGGAAGGGGGCCTGCATAGGGATTAGAGTAAAACTGTTTTTATTTCTCTAAAGTAATTGTACCTACTACCTGATGGAAATTACTTTACCACCAGGTAATAGGTCCCTCCCTCCTGTAGCCAACCTGACCACCTCATTTCCCTCCTCTTCTCTCTTCTCTTCTACCCCCGTCAATGCATTTCAGCCACTTAACATACAATGAGGTCACTTTTGACAGGTATCCACATTGACTGTCTATATCCCCGTTCTCAGAAACCTTTGGTCAACCCTCTAGACGGCACCGTTAGAAGCTTACTTCTTGAGCTTTTTCCGTTTCTGAATAAGCAAATCCTCATTGCATTGAAACAGCAGGGTGTAATGTGAGATAAATACTCGAAGGCGCTGAACACACACCAGAAGTAGGTAATAGTCAGGGTGTTCCTGCTCTGTGAACTTCAGGACATTCTGGATGGAGATAAAAAGAAGGCAGCATTGCATAATTAGAATGAAACTTTTGTCTCTTGTGCCCCTTGCCTCCATCTGTTGTGAGAGTTTAGTAGCCATTTAATCAGAACAACAATACTAATTGTAAGCTGAATGGTTAAACCTGCTGTTCTCTTTGTCCATCACACCAGGGGAGAATAATAGTCACCATTGCTCCTGTTTGAGTTGGATGTGAATGTTGGATAATTCCTTCTGAAAATTAGAAGGATCTACTCATTAGATCTCTGAGGTAATGGAATCATTCTAACAATTACTACCTATAAGCAATGCCTTATGACCTAAACGAGGCAGGCCAATGGTGAGAATGTCAGGGATCAAGGCAGGCTGGAAGGGGATGATGTTTATGATCAAGCCTGGCCTCGTAGTCCTTCCTATTATATTGCCTAATGTACAGTAGAGGAACATGCATGTTAGTTGGATATGGGAAAGCTAAGATTTATTGAATCTCCCTAATGCCAAGTACTAATGCCTTTACAGATTTGTTTTCTTCTTATTTAATGTTTACCACAGCTAGGTTAGATAGGTGCAGTTATTACCTCCATTTAACAAGTAAGGAAATCAAGGCACAGAGAAGTTAAGTAATCTTCATTAACACATCTAACAAGTAGCAGAGTCAGAATTTGAACTCAAGTCAGACAGTAGAATCATACTGCTTGCAAGACCTGGGTTTCAGTCCTAGATTTTTTTTACCATACTGCTTGCAAGACCTGGGTTTCAGTCCTAGATTTTTTTACCATACTGCTTGCAAGACCTGGGTTTCAGTCCTAGATTTTTTTCACCTATGAGGTGTGTGAACTTGGGCAAGTTACTTAATTTCTTTGGCTCTCCATTTCCTTATCTAAGCAATGGTAATGATACCTATTTCATGGGATTATTGAAAGCATTAAATAAGATAATTATTGGGGCGCCTGGGTGGGCCAGTCAGTTAAGCATCTGACTCTTGATTTCGGCTCAGGTTATGATCTCAGGGTCCTGGAATCGAGCCCCATGTTGGGCACTGTGGGAAAAATGGTGTGCAGAAGTCAGCTCATCAACTTCCTCATGCTTTCTCTATGACATACAACATGAGCAATATATGGTAGGCCCTTGAACTCAAGCCAAAAGAAAGTAGTCAGGAGAGCAGTTAGGTGGACAGGTTACATAGATACTTCTTAGATGCCAATGGGTGGGGTAAGGGTTTGGGGGTACATTTAGATGGCTGTAGAACAAGGTTGAAGGGACTGAATAAGTACTCAGAATCTACCAGAAGCTGCTATAGAAAGATCCTGGATCAGCAGAGGTAGGGATTGCTGGTAAATGAAGATAGAACTTCAAAGGCAGACGTCATGAGCCAAAAATTTTTAGAGATTGAGATTTCATACCACAAAGTAGGAATGGCGTAATCGGCAATCTAAATCATTTCATTACTCCTTAGAAATACCACTGGTTCTTCCTTGACCCTTTACCGTGTTTCTCAGTCGCAAGCCACAAATAGCAGTTTAGCTTGAAAATCAGTTTGGTAGCTTCCCAGCCACGCTTACCTGCAGATGTATCAGATATTCAGGGATGCGCTGGACTATGTGAAAAAACAGTGTGTAGATGTCAGATTTAATCTCTTCATCACCCTGAATGAAAGAAAGGTAGAGTCACTCTTCAGTGTCCCTCCAACTCTGGCTGCAGAACCCCAAAGTCAGTCCTACCAGAGCAGGGAGGGTTTTTTTTATTCCCAAGGCATTTTCTTTCTCTAGAGTGTCATGATCCTTCATTGGATCCTTCACTGGATCCTTCATTGGAGTGACATGCTCAAGGAAACAATTCTTTTGTAGCGGGAAGCATATCATACACTTCTTTAGAATCCACCCAACTTTCCAGACTACCCCCTACTCCCGCCCCCCACTCTTTTTAGCACAGTGCTGGACAAAAGTGGGCACTCAATAAATTATATTTGAGTTGAATGAATTCATTAAGATTCTCTTGGAAGTACTCATTACAGTGGCTTACTGGTAGGCACTAAGGGTGGATTGGAGCCTCATGAGGGTGGAGAAAGTGTGTAACTAGGAACTGGCCAGCTGGGCTGGCAGAGGAAACATGTTGGATTTTCTCCATGTCCCTTTCCTTCCCTTCTTTTCCATTCCATTCCATCCTCTCCACTCCCACTCCATTCCTCCCCTCCCTTCCTCTTCCTTTCCTTTCCCTTCCCTTCCCTTTCTTAAATATTTGCTGAGTACTAACATGTGATAGGCATTATACTTGTAGGGTTGGGAGTAGTGGGGGGCGGGGGTTGAAGTAAGACATTAATAAGAAAGAGACCCTCACCTCCTGTGAAACTTGATTAATTCTTAACTCTAGGCTTCTGATAGGGTTTCTTCCTACTGACCTAAAATAACTAGAATTGTTAGATATTTATATGGGCTTATTGAGCACCTAATATAACATTGCAGTAGCAATACTTAAAGCTACATGATTAGAACCACTTTATGATCTTATAAACTGACAGACACAGGATGAGTTTAATATTCAGATTCAAATTGTCTGAGCCTGGGGGGAAAAAACCCTCATACAGCACACAAGCTGTAGCCTGAGGATCTCTGCTTAGAACACCTGTTTACTTTGTGCAGCCTTCCAATGGAATAGAAAAGAGAGTCAGTAAAGTAGGGCAAGGACCAAAGCACAGGCACTTATCCTCAGGTGGGCTCCTTTAACCCCAAGTAGGAGTGTCAGGGACTCTCCTCGAGCCATTCCCCAGCCTGGAAGACAAGCTGAGTGCATTGTATTCCCCGAGGTGGATGAGCAAGGACCTATAGATACACATGTAACCAAAGGGCAGTGCACACACATAGAGTTACCTTACCTCCTTCAAAACAACAACATGAACCAAGGAGATACATTCAGGCAGGTCCCTTAGGTAGGCAACGTAATAATCTAAGAAATTATTCTTGAAAACAAACACAAAAATGCATGGTAAGTACCTGGAAACAGGAATAACAGCTAATATTTTTATAGAGTCATGTATATCAAAAAGGAGTACTTTGCAGAGATTATCTTAATCATTTATGTAATGTGTTCATTACTATGTTTTTTTGTTTTTTAATTCATTTTTTAAATCTTTTTGGTTTTAAGGTAAATATCCCTATGGACTTGGGAACCAAAACTCAATAGTCCTGTTTCAATGAGAGAAAGTGGAAAACCAACACAGCAGAGAGGGGTCACATATGTTGAAAAAGTATTTTTAAACTGTTAAATGATTAAAATGCCTATTTTGTTTTTAAGTTACTTTTAATTTGTCATCTCCATCCAATAAGGAACTTTGTCCAACCCACCTTCTAGTGTCTAGACCAGTGATTCTCAACTTTTTCCACTAATTGTGTATTTCCACCCATTGCTTATTCATCTATGCAATATGCTTTTAGGAAAACAATTCTCAGCTTCCAAAGTTATATTCCCATGGATACAACAATTCTCAGCCCAAGAAAGCATACTGAATACAAATGAGTAAAAATGGTATTAGAGGGATTGCATTACACCCATATAAGTAAATAATTTGTAAACTTTGTTTGCTACATCATTGATATACAGAGTTTGACTGCAGGCTAACTCTGGCTTGCACACCAATTTTAATTAACCCACACAATATTTTTAAAATAAATTTTCACATAAAATTCTGGATTGCCAGTGTCTCGTAAAATACCAGAAGATCTGGCAACTCTAGTCCCTTCTTCCTGAATAATAATTGGACAATATTTCCTGTAGACAAGCATATGTGCTCCACTTAAGCTCACCTCCCAACAGCCAATATTGTATCACATTCCACCTACTTCCACTCATTTATATCACCATCTGGCCCTGTAGGCATTTGGGTTTACAACCTCTGGCCTGGGTCATATTTTCTTTGCAGAACATTACAGAGATACAGATATTTATACACAAGTGCACACACACATTTACATGCATATTCAATGAGGCAGTTATACATAGTATAGTGGGAAGTGATGGGCTGGACGTTAGGAGACTTGGGTCAGAGATCCACAACTACCTAGCTAGCCGAGTGATTTTAGCAAAGTCTTTTAATGTCTCTGAACTTTATTTCATTATCTGTAGAGTGAGGAGGTTAGACTAGATCTCAGCAGTTTTCCTAACTCTGAAACTCACCGATTTGAAGTTCTCCATTCAGAGAAGCAGACAAGAGAGACACAGATGCATGTAATTCTAGTTTATAAAGGATTTTTTAAAAACTTACCTCATCATTTGTTAACTTAAGGAATAAATCTCCAAGAACTCCTTGGCGTGGCCACTTCAGGACCCTTTCCTGCAGAGCATGAAGCAAATCGAGGTGCTGCTGGACAAGGTACCGTAAAGAGCCAGGGAAGAGGCTTGAAACAGAATAGAGATAGGATCACACAAACCAGGTGTACAGAGGAAAGACCCTATAAGAACATATGAAGGAGGTTCCATTTTCCCAGTCATTCAAAATATTCTGAGTCACAGCTCTGCATTCAGGAATTTTTTTTTTTTTTTTTTGAGTTTGATATTGTAGACCTAATAGCAAATATCCTCAAGATGTAAAAAGACCCCTTTAGGGGTGCCTGGGTGGCTCAGTCAGTTAAGCGTCAGACTCTTGATTTTGGCTCAGGTCATGATCTCAGGTTTCTGGGATGGAGCCCCATGTTGGGCTCCGCGCTCAGCAGGGGAGTCTGCTTGAAGATTCTCTCCCTCTGCCCCTCCTCCGACTCATGCACTCTTTCTCTCTCTCTCACACTCTCTTTCTCTCTCTCAAATAAATAAATCTTTTAAAAAATTAAATAAATTAAAATAAAAAGACCCCTTTACCAATGACTCCTACACAAATGTGTATTACACTAATAAAGAGCACATCACTTGAATGGCTTCTTTTTTTTTTTTTAAGTTTATTTATTTTTCTTAGTAATCTCTACACCCAACGTGGGGCTCAAACTCACAAACCTGAGATCAAGAATCACACCCTCTTCCAACTGAGCCAGCCAGAATGGCCTTTTTAAAGCCAAACTGTTACTGTCTCATTTATGTGACAGTAGAAATTCTAAGGGAACTCTTTTCCAAAATTTTAAAGTTATTCCCACTTGATATGCAAAAGAGACTACTCTAATTAGTGCTGTAGATGACAGCATGAAGGTAGCACTTGATCATTCTTAGTTACTGAGTAAGAGACTCCGATTGAGGTAAAAAGGAAAACTTGTTTAAAGCTGGCACCTAGGGCGCCTGGGTGGCTCAGTTGGTTAAGCGACTGCCTTCAGCTCAGGTCATGATCCTGGAGTCCCGGGATCGAGTCCCGCATCGGGCTCCCTGCTCAGCGAGGAGCCTGCTTCTCCCTCTGACCCTCCCCCCTCTCATGCGCTCTCTCTCATTCTCTCTCTCTCAAATAAAGAAATAAAATCTTAAAAAAAAAACATAAATAAAGCTGGCACCTAAATGCTCAGGAGATGGGCATAAGAAAGTGCTCCTTTCCCTTCATTTTCCAAGAGGACTACTGGGCAAGGACACAGTCTTGCCTGAGGAGGCTGCGGACCAGGCCTGGCCTGCTACTCCCTGGAGTGTCACAGAGCCCCTTCCTCTTCTCACACCCGTCTCCCTCATTCCTCAGTGTGCCTCGGTTTGTTTGTTTGTTTGTTTTTTCCTAGAGGAAATGAAGGGAGGAAGAGAGGTGTCAGAGAAGGATGTGGTGGAGAGGAGAGAGAGAGAGAGAGAATCATGGGCAGAGGAAGGGGGTGCATGGAGAAGGGTGGGGCAACCAGGGGCCTATAGGAATGAGGATGGAAGCCAGAATGAAGTAGTTTCACTGGGCTACAGCAAGGACTCGAGCTCTAACTTGGTGACTTATGGGAATTGATACTAGGTTCCCTTGGGCTTTCAAGACCACAAGTTTAATGAAGATGAAAGTGTCACTGAGAGCTGAATTACTTGGATATTCATTCCCCCAGGGTCCAAAAAGAATGAATCAGCGGACAATTGGGGTGCTTTGCCAACCCTGAACAAGCAGACCTTTGTTGAGTTCAGTAGGAAGAACCGCGGTTTGGTAAGAAGTTTTTTCAACCTCCCCTCCAAAAAAATAAATAAAATTAAAAAAAAAAAAAAGCTTCTTCAACCCATCTGCAAGTAAAGCAGACTCCCCTGAGGCTATAGCTCAGAGAAGACGCAGATAACAGAGCGAGTATCCAACCCCTGTGAGAAGATACGAGGATTCCTTCACTCCGGACTTCTGCCCCTCCCCTTCCTGTGCCACTAGTCTCCGAATTTGCGAAGCCAGCTGGTCCATAAGCACAAGTGGAGGGACTTCCCGATCTAAGCCCTTATGGCCGCACAGTGGGCTCAGAAGATCTAAGTAATCCCTGTCCAGATCAGAGGGAATTTGGAGGGGTGGCTAGGAGACAGGATGACTGTGGAGGAGACCATCAAGCTGATGGAGAAAAGCAGAACTGATTGAACTGAAAGAGTAAAACACTATGCCCGTGAAAGGTCTAGATGTGAAAGATTTCTCCCCACCCAAGGCTATCATGACTTTGGGTAATATTCCTGGTGTGACACTGAAAGATGTGAGGGCACCATGCCATGGTGAGTTCTGACTTTGAGATGGGTTGTCCATATAGGTTATGTAATATCTCTTGGATGATCTCTTTTCTTTTTCTCTTTCTTTACTCCTCTCCTGGCCTTGCCTGGCCTCACCTGGCCTGACCTTCTTTCTCTTTCTTTAGAGAAAGCTGCCTTCTGTTACATGGTGACCAGTGTCCTTGCAGAATTGGAGAGCTGGTAACTTGGTTGGAGTCCAGGTACCCCCTGGACTGTCCACTGGGGTAATAGTTTGAGATTTCAGGGTGAGGGTCACAAAAGGTTAATGGTCCCATCAAGTATCATGGAAACACAAAAGTTCCACAAAGAGCAATGGCCTGCCTGTGGGTTCTGTACCAAATATTGAAGAAAATTTTATTTAAAAAAGATATTATTTGAAATCAGAGAGGAATGTGGAGGAGGTAAGCCAGGAGATGGAGAGGAGAGGGAGAAAGAAGCAAGCAGGACAGACACACACGGAACCTGTTTCCCTTTTTACCTAGAGCCACACCCGACTCCCAGAAGCAACTTTTTCGTGAAGATGAAAGTGTTAAGTATCCATCTTCCTATCTATTCCTTACTAGGGGTGAAATTATAGCAACTACATGAGTAGTTTATTCTTTTCAAAATCTTCAAAGTTATTTAAACTCCCACAACACAGTACTTAAACAACAAGGGCACTAAACTAAAAGCCATCAAGGAAAACCCGGTTAGAGTTTCAAATTAATAACTTAGCTCTTGCCGGTCTAATCGTAGGCCAGACTCTCTCCCGAGCTTCAGCAGCAGGACGCAACCAAATTTGCGGGGTGCCGATGACGAAGCATAGGCCACCTGGTGGTGACCCGTGGCACACAGCATTTTTGGTGCATGCGCAGTAGGCTGACTCGCAATCCTGTCGGGCTGATGTCCCTCCCCACAAGTATCCCGACAGACAGGACTGTTTGATCCTGAGCTTGAACTCTGTCTAGGTGAATCAGACCAGAGAAAGCCAAGAACTGCAACTCCTGGGATCCTCCAACAAGTGAACAGCCGCCCACGAGCTCCTCTCAGGCCTCAGCGGGCCGCTCGTGCCTCTGCAGTTTCCAGCCCTTTCGCTCAGCCAGGCGCAGGGCTGGCTTGAAACATGCGAAGGAGGCTCTCGAGGGCTTTACTTTTCTCCAGGGAGAAACTAAAGTTTTATTGTAGAGGTTTGAGAAGATGTGGCGACCTCAGTTTTGAGTGTCCAGTTGTAGTGCCGGTGGGTTTTATTTTCACCCCCAGGTTACTTTGCAGCAGGGGTGGAAAGTGCTGGAAGCTTGCAATGTATGATGGGAAGGATGGGACGTGTTACTACCTTATTTCCACCTTTGCATGGGGAAAGTGCCAGTAGAGAAAGGGAATAATCTCGTTCTGTTGTGTATTTCGTTCAGTGGGCCTATTTAAAACCCACGGAGGCTTCAGAAAAGCTTAGAAAAGGGGCGCCTGGGTGGCTCAGTCGGTTAAACGTCTGCCTTCGGCTCAGGTCATGATCCCAGGGTCCCGGGATCGAGCCCCTCATGGGGCTCCCTGCTCAGCGGGAAGCCTGCTTCTCCCTCTCCCTCTGCTGTTCTCCCTGCTTGTGTGCTCTCTCTCTGTGTGTGTCATATAAATAAATAAAATCCTTAAAAAAGAAAAGTTTGGGAAAAAAGAAGGAATGTAGTGAGTGAAGGAGGATAATGGAAATCTAAGCCTAGGGTGGAAAAATGGCGACACTGCAAAGCTCAGAACTCAAGTCTTTATATTAGTCCTAAGAGTACTGACTTAAAGCTTTTCTCATCTCCATCCATGAAAAGAAAAAAGAGGGTTAGCTTAGTAAATAACTAACATTAATAGCATTATCGCGGATATGAGAAATGACTGGTTTCTAACTTTCATGGGGGATTGTGTGATAGCTTTAAACTTTTTTAAATCTTGGGATTTGGAGACGATCGGTCCTTCCTCAGTCATGAGTCATGGGAGAACATCCTAGACAAGGAGGAAGTGACGGCAAGTAGAAGAGAGCTTCAGTAAACCGAGAACATTTCTAGCATCCCTGCCTGACACATCAGTTGAGATCTGAAGTAAGAACGTTAACGGCTGTTAAGAGGGAAGCCTACGCTGTAAAATAGGAACAGACAGAAGGTCTGCTTCTGGCTGAGAAACCCAACATATTGCTGTTAGTCAGATGATGTCTTTGAAACGACAAGGTCCTCAGAGAAGTGGTGTGATGTGGAAAGGTCACAAGGACAGGGGCAGACAAGCCTGGATCCGGATCCTGGCACTAACTGGCTGTGTGGTTTTCAAGTCCTCTGGGCCTTAGTTTCTTCAGCTATACGGTAAGCTTCATAGGGTTCTTGTGAAGATTTCATGAATTTACCAATGAAGTGCCTGGTTACCGTGTTCCAGAGTAAACAGTTCTCTCTCTCTCTCCCCTTGCCCCATCCCCAAATTTTCAGAGACGACGAGGAGATGCTGCTGGCTTAGAATCTCGCATGTGGAAGCAATACTACACCAAAATGTAGATTTGCCTTTAGATTTGATTAATGCAAATGGAGCAGGTCTCTGGCAAGATAGCTGGAGGCCGAGAGGCATCTCAGAGGCTGAAGGGGCAATGGGAGAGGGTGGGATGAGTTGGATTCCAGATGGGGAAGGAACAACCAGCGAGAATCTGGGTGGCCCCTGAGAGAGGCCTCTAGGGGTGAGAGCTTTAGCCCTGTCACTTCACCCTTTCTGTTCCTTGTTGTTTTCTATACTTTGCTTACCTCAACTTTGCAGTAAAATGATTCTTGAAAATAGTCAAGCCACTTCTGAGTCTGTCAGGGAATATTCCCTCACCTCAGCCACTAGATAGGGGGAGCACCGTGTTCTAGAGACTAGGTATTTTGCCAGCAGCCACAAAGCCAAGTAAAATGGGGCGGGGGGGGGTGGGTAGAGAGCAGGAAAATACAATCAGGGGCTTCCCGAGATAGATTCATGATAGATTTATGGACCACCGGTGTCTATTACCTGATAGACTATTTAAACTATCAATGCTACATTTATCTGTAATAGTCATAATCCAGACTTTCCATTCTTCTCGATTGGCCTTTTCCTCAACTAATCTGGATTATTACGTCTTCATGAGGTTAGTCCTTTCCACCAAATCAGAGTTTCCTCCTTCCTGCTTTTCTTAATGGAGAAGAAGCAGAGAAGATATAAAGATGATGAACAGAAGCAATCAAGGAGTGTTGTAATCTTGGAGCTAGCATGCTGTTATAATATACTGCAGACCCTGTGGAAGCACCAACACACATACACACACACACACACACACACACCACTTGCACACTGTCTAGTACTATGGGATCACCAGGACAAATAAGAAAGGTCCAAGTCCAGAGTTAATCAGCCCCATACCATTTATCTAATGGCCGCTTAATGCTTCAGACCTCCACTGCATCCATTCCCTCCTATGTCCATGAGACCTGTGATCCCAGGAGAACATGCAGATGGCAACAGAGAGCAATGTCTCCCTCACCGTAGCATTAATTCCCCCTTTATGTTCTTTACAGACATGCCAGGGACACTGAAGTTCTCAGAGACTATCTTCATTTTGTTATCTGTGGTAAGTCTAAATTTGAGACTTGCCAGGCATTACCTGCTGTCACTGCCTACACTCTCTTCAAAGACTATTTCTGGAACTCGTCAGAGGTCACAGAATTCCCCAACTGGAAACAATAAACGACTTACCTTAAATTTTAATCAATCTGAAAAGCAAAGGCAATGAACACATGGATACCTTCTCTCTTTGGAATTCCTCTTTCCATCTGACCCTTGGAATGTTGCCTTGATCTTCAGGATCAGAGAGATGTTAATGACATATTTTCTCTCTGACTCAAGCAGTTCTAGAGCCACGGTCTGTCTTTTAGCTTTAAAAAACAAATCAAAGAGGGAATTTTCGTCAACCATTCCTTCCCAAAACTCAATTAAATGATAGAAAGCAATAAAAAGACATTGAAAGCAATAAAAAGGGACATTGGCAAGTTTTCGGAGGATGGAAAACAGAATGGAAGCATGGTAATTAATTCAGCAGAGTAAGGACGCAAAACCTTAGTGTTCTCATCCGCACATGGAAAATCTGCTGAGAAGCAGAAAGGCTCAAGGAGTGGAGGCACTGGGCACCACAGAAAGTACAAATAAGGAGCAATGCTGAAAACAGGAGACTTAGTCTATATATGGTGCTTTTGAACTTCCAGGCTCCTCCCCCCATGCCAGATGGCTTCCTCATTCCCCATCCCCATCCATGGGAAAATGGGAAAAATTAAACTAGAGGGGCCCATATCTCTGGGGTCTGGACTAAAGACAGTAGAGGGAAGGATTGAGATTCCAACATGAAAACAAGGGGACTCAGAGAAGGCTTGCATACTGAATGGGGAGACTCCCCTCAGCCCCTCCCCCTGCAGGTCTTTCCACAGTGCCAGTAGCCAGACTTATACTCTCCAGGCAGGAGACTGGAGGATCTTCCACTGAAGAAACCGAAGGGAAAAAGACCTACAGACACTGACATAAAGAGGTCAGCTACCAAAAAGTTAATTTGCCACCTGATTAGCCTATAGTGAAGTCCATTTACTGATAAGCTTGGCCAACATAGAATCATGGTTTCTTTTTATTTAGGGCCTCTCTCTTATATATATCAGCTAAGGATCCTCAGACATTTGAATCAACCTGACATCATAAAATAAAGAGAAGAAAAAGGTATATACACATTTTGAGTAAATAGAGACAATGCAGGGGATGTAATGTACAGCATGGTTAATAATATTATTTTGCATAATTGAAAGTTGCTAAAAGAGTAGACATAAAAGTTCTCCTCAAAGAAAAAAAATTGTAGCTATGTATGGTGATGATGTTAACTAGACTTATTGTGGTGATCATTTCACAATATATACAAATATCAAATCATTATGTTATACATCTGAAACTAATATAACATTATGTGTCAATTTTACATTAATAAAAAAAAAGACAATGCAGAAACAAAACTTTTTTAAAAATCCTATAATTAAGGGGCTCCTGGGTGGCTCAATTGGTGAAGCACTGACTTTTTTTTTTTAATACTTTATGTATTTATTTGACACAGGGAGAGAGAGCACAAGCAGGGAGAGTGGCAGGCAGAAGGACAGGGAGAAGCAGGCTCCCCATTGAGCAGGGAGCCCAATGTGGGCCTCCATCCCAGGGATCATGACCTGAGCTGAAGGCAGATGCTTAACTGACTGAGCCACCCAGGCACCCTGGTGAAGCACTGATTCTGGATTTCAGGTCAGGTCATGAGCCCTGCATTGGGCTCCCTGCTCAGCGGGGAGTCTGCTTAAGGACTCTTTCTCTCGGGGCCTGGGTGGCTCAGTCGTTAAGCGTCTGCCTTCGGCTCAGGTCATGATCTCAGGGTCCTGAGATCGAGCCCCGCATCGGGCTCTCTGCTCAGTGGGAAGCCTGCTTCTCCCTCTTCCATTCCCCCTGCTTGTGTTCCCACTCTTGCTGTGTCTCTCTCTGTCAAATAAATAAATAAAATGTTTAAAAAAAAAAAGGACTCTTTCTCTCTCCAGGTCTTTCCACAGGCTGTCCAGTTGCTCACACATTCTCTCTCTATATAAAAAAATAAATAAGTAAATCTTTTAAAAAAATCCTATGGTTAATATCCTCAAAGATATATGAGAAAAACATTCCGGCCATTTAATAGTTACAGGATGCTATTTTTTTTTTTTTTAAGAAAAGAGAACATTCCAAAAAGAAAAAAAAAAAAAAGAAGAAGAAAAAGGAGGAGGAGGAGGAGGAATTTTTGGCATTTTTTCAAAGATAAAAGGGTGGCAGATAAAGTCAAGGAGATCTCCTGCCTTCTTCCCCACTCCCCCAACAAAACAAGAAGGAGACATTTTGAAGAAAAAGAGACTAGGAAATGATGGTAGTGGAGATCAATCCAGGAGACCCAATATCAAATTAGTAGAAATTTCAGAGAAAAGAAAGAAAATGGATGAGAGGATATTATCAAATTAATAATAGAAAAAAAATACCAGGAGACACATTTCTAGAGGAAAGGGCCCACTGTGCTCAGCATAATTAATGAAGAAGACTCTCACAACACTGTGACACATTAGCACATCAAAGGTAAAGAGAAGATCCTAAAAGTTACCAGAGAGAACACTCAGGTAACATACAAAGGACTGGGGATCAGAATGGTATTGGACTTTCCAAAAGTAACATTAGAAACTAGAGGACAATGAAATAATTGCTTCAAAATGATGAGGGAAAATTATTTTATATTCACCTAAATTATCACCAAAGCACGCGGAAGCTACTGGACGATGGGTTCCATCAAACAAGGAGTAAACCAAGAAACCAACAGGCACACAAGATAAAAACAAACAAAAGGGAATCTAAGGTAGGAGAACTATGAAAGGAATTCCTAAGAAGAGTGGGAAGTCCCAGGATAGCAGCGGTGCAATGGGCCAGAATGGAATAGGATGACAGAGGACTCTAGGGCAAAGGCTTTGGCAGGTGGAGAGGGGAGAAGAAGAAGCATGTAAATGAGAGATTTTCCATTACATTGCTAAGAAAAATTGAAGAAGACCTATATAAAGGGAGACATAAACCATGTTCTTTGATTGGAACACTAAATACTGCCAAGTTGTAAATTCTATGCTAATTGGAATAAAAAGAATACAGAGTCTAGAATTAGAACCACCCATATGTGAATCACCTGACGTTCTTTGCACAATTCAATATGGAAAGAAAGATATTTTCGATAAATGGTGCTGAAGCAACTGGACAGCCGTATGGGAAAAAAATGAACCTGGACTCCTTCCTCACACCATACATCAAAATCTAGTCAAGGTAAGTAATAGATTGTTGCTCCTGGCTGACTCAGTCTGTAGAGCATGCAACCCTAGATCTTGGGGTCATGAGTTGGAGCCCCACATTGGGCATAGAGTTTACTTAAAAAAATCTTTAAAAAAAAGGTAAGTAATAGATCTAAATGTGAAAGCTAAAGCTATAAAGATTTTAGAAGAAAACATACTAGAGTATCTCCACAACTTTGGGATAGGCAAAGATCTCTTAGAAGGACTCATAAGTCACAATCTATATAAAAAGTTTAAAATTGATTAACTTCACCAAAATTAAGAACATCTATTCATCAAAAGACTATTAAGAATATGAAAAGGCAAGCCACATACTGGAATAAAATATTCTCCACACATATATCTAATAACTCATATCCAAAATATATTAAATTCTACTAATTGATAATAAGAAGATAATGCACTTTAAAAGTTGGACAAAGGACTTAAACAGGCACTTCATAAAAGAAGATGTACAAATAACTAATAAGCACATGAAAAGATGCTCAACATCATTAGTCATCAGGCAAGTGCAAATTAAAACTACAATACCAGTACACCCCCCCATGAGAATGGCTAAAATTAAAAAGACTAACCATACTAAATATTGGGAAGGATGTGAAGCAACCAGAACTCGCAGACATTACTGGATGGAGTATAAAACATCCCAATCACTTTGGAAAACTGTTTGATGTTTTCTTTCAAAGTTTAGCATAATCCTCTCCCCTAATCTAGAGATACTACTCCTACGTGTACATCCAAGAGTAATGAGGGCAGACATCCAAAAAAGACTTATTCAAGAATATTCATATCAGTTTTGCTTATAATAGCCCTAAACTGGTAACAAGCCAAATGTCCATCAACAGGAGAACAGATAAGCAAATTGTGGTAAATTTATTCAATGACTGAAAAAAGGAATGAACTACTGAATGAATTACACACAGCACATTATATTGAGAGAAAGAAGCCTGACTCAAAAGAGTACACATTGTATTATTCCCTCTGTATGAAGTTCAGGAACAGAGGAAACTAATTTACAGTGACAGAAGTCAGAATAGTGGTTCTTCAGGTGGTAAGGTGCATGAGAGGACTCTCTGGGGTAACAGAAATATTGTATATCTTGATGCAGGTAGTGATCACAAGGGACTATACATACATAAAAAGTCAATGAGCTTAAACTTAAGCTTTGTTAACTTTGCTGTATGTAAATTATCCCCCAGTAAACTACTGATTAAAAAAAAAAAAAAACAGCAACATAAACTTGTTTTAAAACATGGAAGCAAGTACCACAAGAAACTGTGCAAACAATTTAAAGTGGTTGCTCTTTTCTTCATAATAAACCTTTTAGTACTATTTAATTTTTTGTGTGTTTGATAGTAAAAATTAATTTTTAAAAAATTGCCTTCCGCAAAGTGGTTGGAGGGAAATGCTGTTATGCGACATATAGTAAGTGTGGACTAGCAATTTGTGACACAAAGGAGAGGAAGGAAGGGAAAAAGGAGGGAAGGAGGAAGGAGGGAGGGAGGACGGACCCTGTTGCAGTGTTTGATATCTTGGTGGCAGACTACTGATCCAAGACGCACATTTTTTTGAAGATTTCGCATCACTAACTACATAGTTCACAAAATGCTGCCCTCTTCCCCACCAACTTTATCCCTTTCTTTCCCCCAAAGCACTGCATTACTAAATGTCATGGATACCCAGAATTGAGGTGCTGGTCCCAAGCTGGCCATGTGACCTCAGGTGAGTCCCCTCATCTCTATAGGCTTTAGCCTTCATCAGAAAAGGAAACCAGAGGGCGCCTGGGTGGCTCAGTTGGTTAAGCGACTGCCTTCGGCTCAGGTCATGATCCTGGAGTCCCGGGATCGAGTCCCACATCGGGCTCCCTGCTCAGCGGGGAGTCTGCTTCTCCCTCTGACCCTCCCCCCTCTCATGCTCTCTCTATCTCATTCTCTCTCTCAAATAAATAAATAAAAATCTTTAAAAAAAAAAAAAGAAAGAAAAGGAAACCAGAGAGCAGGTGGTCTCACATGTCCCCTGAACCTATATTGCAAGGATTCTAGCCTGTAGGTTTCCTGTTCTTCAAAATTTCAGCCTGTATTTTCCCTTGGGACTTACCAGCTAAAGAGGTTTCACATAAAACATTTTCCAGGGAGCTGTGTCTGCCCTGGCCAGCGTCCTTGAGTTTATCTGGGTGGTCTTTCGTGACATACTCCTCGCCCCATTCTTTACCATCCTTAGGCTGCCTCCACACACCAGATGAGAGATGGCTCTTGGGCTGGATATCAGCCGAGAGGCAAGACTTAAGGTTTTCTTCTGCTTCTGGAGTTGTTGGGTTCATTCCTGAAAAATAACACCTGCCGTCAAGATTTGACTTTTTTTTAAAAAATTATATTTGTTATTAACTCTGAAATATTATGCCCCTGTTTGGGTACAAACTGTCCCTCGAGGATTAAATAAATCAACTGAAGATTAAAAGTTTCTACACTTGCAAAGGATCACCTCTGTTTCTGGCCTATACATCCTCTACTCTTTGTATGTAGTCACTACTAAATAAGGCGTTTTAAAAAAATAAAATTATAAAATAATATAATTAATTTGTAGTAAGTATGCATTGACTCCCTGTATCTCCTTCCTTTTAGGCAAGCACACCAGGGGAAAAAATACAGAGGAAGAAAGATGCCAAAACAATGTTTTCTTTTGGAATTTGTTTTCCTTGGCCGCAATAATGGTAAGTTGCAAAAAGGAGGAAGGAATGGAGGGAAGGGAAGATGAAATAATTTAAAAAATACTGGTGGGTTGTCTATTAAGTAAATAACTTTTAAATTAAATGAACTATAAACTGTGTCCATAGAAAACTTATGCTACGTATACCTGTGAGTTTCTCAGCAAATATTATTTCAGTAATTGACATGAGCCAGAAAGAACCAATTGATGTGAGCCAGAAAGAACCAATACTGGCTTTGTCTTAAACATCTCCACCCCTTCCCTTCTCTCTCCTTGGTTTAACTGAGTCACTGACTTACTCTATTACACATCTTGGGGTCTTAGTAACCACAGTGCTTTACCTTGCCTGAGTTCTTTCAAGCCTGGTTTGGGACTGAGGGCCTAGAAGCAGGGAAGGTGGAAGCAGGGAAAAGGTAGAGTTGCTAGAAGAGACGAGAACTCAACACAGAGCTACTTACCAGGACCCATCATCCCCTTCACATTACTGTCTGCTACATGCATGGATCTGGATTCTTGGGCTAGAGAAAGGAAAGCTTTCAGTCAGTATTCACTCCACTAACAGGGGCTGACATCTTCTATGAGCCAGACACTGGGGACAGACTCACTGTTGACAGCTTACTGAGGGAGACAGAAGAGCCAAAAATAAAATAAAATTTCAATATAGTGGCAAGCACTCTTTTCCCATTTGTAAGAATATATAATAAGTGGCGCTTACCTCCTAGACTACCACAAGAATTAAATCAGTTAATATGTGTAAACTATACACAATAAGAGCTAAATTATTGTCTATGATGGTGAGGGTGAGAGGAGCCAGAATGATGCTGTTCAAATGTAAGTCAGACCCTGTCACTCCTCCGCTCAGCCCTCCAATGGCTTCCCAGGTCAGCGTAAAAGCCAAAGGCTTTATAATGACCATAAAGCCGTAAAATATCTGCCCCCTCCTGCCCCTCCTGTTTCCTTCTTTTCTGAAAACTTCGTCTCCTGTTGTCCCTCTTGTTCCCTCTGCTTTAGCCCCCCTGCTCCCGCTCCAACTTGAATGAACATCTCAGTGATGTTCCCGCTAGGACCTTGGCATGGGCTGTTCCTTTCTTCCCTTCCGAATGCATAAGCTCACATCCTCACTTCCTTCAGGTTTTACCTGGCACCCTCTCTAAAATTACACCTGTGTTTCCTTATTTTTCTCCCTATCACTAATGTACTACATATTTTATCTATCTTGTTTGTTGTCTGCTTCCATGAGGGCAGGAATGTTTGTTGTTTTGTTCATTACTGTCTCCCGCCATCTAAGTCAGCGTCTGGGGTGATGGATAGATAGCAGGAAAGACCAACGCGTAGTGGGACAGTCAACACCTTAACTGCAATCTCCCGAAAGACCTTGAGCCAGAGGCACCCACAGATTCCTGACTCAGAGAAACTATAACATAATGAATGTTTATTATTGTAAGCTACTGAATTTGGGAGCAATAAGCAACAATTGCACCATTTTATAATTAACAGTGGGTAAGCCAACCCTTTCTAAAGTCTGGCCCTTAGATCCTGCGTTTCAACATAACCTACCATCAATCATATCCAAAATGTCTTATTATGGCACATTGTTCCCAAATTCTGCAGTAACTCGGTTGAACAAACTGTATTATATAAGCCACGTCTATTGTAACAGGGAAGGAGGGAGGAGTTGCCACCACATAGCTCATTGAACTCCATCTGAGCACTTTGCAGATATAATTTTTAATCTTTTATCTTGTGAAAATGTTCAACTTCCCCAGACCTGGCACTGATCTGACCTCTACTTTCCAAGGCCATCCTGTATTCTTTCCTAGTAAGACCATCCTTTTATGTTCTGTTCATCATGACATGGAGCAAAGAAAATAGAACCACCTGTGATGAACCCACTCAGTCCCCAGATGGATCAGTGAGTTTTCCCAGGCTGCACCTATCAGTCTCTAAAGTAACTACTCAAGGGGGTAAAAAAAAACTACAAAGAAAAAAAGCAGATCCATACTTTGAAGTTATACCGATTTAAAAGCCATCTGATTTAGATTTTTAAATTTAGTGATTCAAAACACATTTATCGTCTAGGAATATATGGTGCCTTAAGGCAGAAGGGTAGAAAACCACCAGCTCTGCCTCAGAGGAGCTTCCAATTGGTTGAGAAGTCCTTGAGCCTCTTTTGGAGACTTTCTATATGTGACCCCCAAAAATTAAAAAAAAAAAAAAAAAGGACAATTACTCTAACTAACATTAATGTCACTCTCCAGCATAGGTACTTTGCTAGACATTGCTGAGCATACACAGATGTAGCAAACGTGTAACCAGACATGGTTACAGACGGATGTAACTGGCTGGAAAGCCAGTTTCATCAGCACTGCCCAGGGACAGTTTTCTAGCATCTGCTGTCTCATCCCTCAGATCAGGGGTGTGGCTAGTGACCCGAGCCCACAGACAGCACCAGCTCTGGTTACCCAGAGAAAGAGGGGCACACCACTGACGTCACTGCCTGCCAGTTAAGGCAGATATGATTTTCTCTGATCAGTGAAACCTCACTGAAAAAAGCGCAGAACACACAATTTTCTGGTAAGAATACGCCTATCTTTAAAATGTCTATGCAGAGAGACAAGGCGTGAGCAGTAATGTGGAAGAGAAAACGAGTTATTAGAGTGGATAATTTTTTTTTAACATTTTTCTCCTAGGGTTATTTTTGAAATTTAGAAAACCCAGATAAGTATTTTCCCAAAAAAGAAAATCTTTTAAAATTGGGCAGATTCTCCTGGTCTCTTAGGATCCCCTGGATTCTTTTTTTTTTTTTTTTTTAAGATTTTATTTATTTATTTGACACAGAGAGAGAGTACAAGCAGAGGGAGCTGCAGGTAGAGGGAGAGGGAGAAGCAGGCTCCCTGCTGAGCAGAGAGCCCGATGTGGGGCCCCATCCCAGGACCCTGGGATCATGACCTGAGCTGAAGGCAGATGCTTAACTGACTGAGCCACCCAGGCACCCCAGGATCCTCTCTCTGGATTCTTATAAATTCCAATTATAGGAGGAAAAATTCTGAGCAATACATCATTTTCCTATAAGGATGGAAGACATAAACCCATTCTCACTATTACTTAAGCTCTAGGAATCAAGGGGAAAGGCTTGGTTAATTCAATATGGTTTGCAAACTGTACCTTTTTCATAGGCCTGAGAAGGCAAGAGGTTTGTAAAGTCTTCACTTGGAAGAACAGGCTCAGGGATATTGATTGAACGGAAAGGACTTCCTTGTGCTTGAACAGGCCCAGCCTGTGAGCCATGTTCTTCTTTTTGAGTTTTCCTGGGGAAGGAAAACAAAGGGTCTTAATGCCTGATGGGTTAAGAAGAGAATCAGTTCAGAATGATTCAAGAAAAATTCTGAAACATTAGGTTGAACCAAAAAAGTGCTGTTTTTGTAAATTAAAAATAGTTAGATACTAGCAATTCTTAGGGCTCAACTTAATTCATTGCCAAAACTGGAGAAAAAATTTCAAACACGTACAAATCACATCTTAATGGTAATACCTATATTTTTGTTTTTCTGTTCCTGGCTTCCTTGTCATCAGGATCTGTACAGAGTTTGCAGTGATGACAATTTGCTTGGGGTGATTTACATTCACTTAACAAAGCAACACAAAGGTACCAGGAAGCAGCAGGTCTTCAACTACAAACAACAAGCCATTCTTTGGAGTCACACAAATATTATTGCCATATTTCTATTTTAAATTTGATAATTTAAAAACCTATAACAATAATGATTATATATGTTTAATGGTGAAACTTAATTGACTCAACCTGGTTGAGATACTAACATAAATGTATTTTCAATGGTGGAAGTAAACTAGTAGTAGCATTAGAGAAATTTTAGAAAACTAATTAAAAAAGAAAATCATGAGTGACCCCACTATCTTAACACAACAATCACCATTTTAAAATATATCTTTCTAGTTTTTATTTTACATGTTTTTACAGTTGAAATAAAATTCTACATGTCATCTTATATCATTTTCATTTCACTTCCTATTGTACTGAGTGCATTTTCCGTGTAATTATTACCATCCATTTTTAAACGTAACCGATTTTTATGATTCTATAACTTCCATCACATGCTGACCCACAGATTCCAGCAGTATGTAGCCAGTTATCTATCTGCCGATGGGGGGAAGGTGTTCTCGGTGTAAGTATCCAAACCTCTGCTTATGGGTTTGCCATTGGCTAATTTTGTGTAAGACACTCACTTGGCTTTAACCTTTCGAGATTCCCTTCGCTTTTCCTGCTGAAGCTGTTCAATTTTCTGTTGCATTTCTTCTTGCTTGGAAGTGATGGCCTGAATCATTGCCATGGCATTGCTCAGCTCTTCCTGAAAAATAGGAATTGATACATAATGAATCTGGTAAAAGGGGTGAAAGGATATAAGATGATATCTAGTACACAGTAAGCTTTTAGTATACATTTGTTGAATGAATGAATGAGAAATGAACATCTTATTTCTATTGCAGTCTGTAATTTTAACACAGAGATCCAAGAAAGAAAAACAGATTTTTTCTTCGTGATAATTAGCAAATGGGCCAGAGGGAAAATTCTTTTATTTGACTGCTACATGAAAAGGTGTTTTCTACTTCTGTGGCTAAGATCAAGAACCTCTCTGTTTAGGAGGGGAGTAGAAAAGGAGCCTAGGGGGCGCCTGGGTGGCTCAGTTGGTTAAGCGACTGCCTTCGGCTCAGGTCATGATCCTGGAGTCCCAGCATCGAGTCCCGCATTGGGCTCCCTGCTTAGCAGGGAGTCTGCTTCTCCTTCTGACCCTCCCCCCTCTCATTCTCTCTCTCTCTATCTCATTCTCTCTCTCAAATAAATAAATAAAATCTTAAAAAAAAAAAAAAAAAAGAAAGAAAGAAAGAAAAGGAGCCTACCTTGAAATAGTTTAACGAATTCTTCATCTCGGTAACTTTTTCTTCCATGGAACATCGGCAGCTCTTAACCTTCTCTTCCAAAGCATATTCTCCATGTTGAATTCTTGACAGTTCTTGCATTGCTTCCGTGAAACCAGTTTTGAGTTCAGAGGCCAAGGCCTGCAACTAAAGATGATCACCAAGAATGAATTCAATTTGCTATAAACTACTATAAATACTGCCACTGGCCCCTTGAATTTTCATTTTGTTTGAGAAACCAAGCTCCTGAAAATCTACAGACCTCATATACTGGTAGACTAAAGTTTAGACAACATAAGGCAACCTTGGTCCCATTCTTTTAGGGAAAAGAGGGTCTTTTTTATATAGCACATGCCGAAGCTTGATAGTGACAAGCAAGCAAACAATTAGGTTGACAGGTCTTCCTGTGAGCTATGTTTATTCTAACACCTTTGCTTAAAATGAGATTTACTTGAAAACCAACATATGCTTGTGAAAGACAATCTTGATCCAGTAACTCTTTGAATCCCATGAAAGAAAGGATGGGTCATATTATCCCTGGTGTTATAGAAGATGAAGAAATTCAGTTATTTTTCCCTTAAAAATTAAATGATAAAAAGAATAATAACTAAGCATATCTGAGAATTTCTTTGAAAGGGAACAGGATTTATATATATATATATATGGATGTTGGATGATGTCATGGAAAAGGAGAAAATGGCATTTGCATTTGAGTGGCAGGAAATAGCTACAATGTTAGGAGCTCAGCACACTGTTGATAGTGATGTTGAATTATCTTCAAGAGTCAAGCCTGGTAGAGTAGGAGTGCACACATTGGACTTCTGTTGTCAACTTCCACACCATGAAAAAAGTATCAATTTTGGAGTCCGATAGGGTACGAACCCTAGCTCTCTCCTATGAGAAGTCAGACCTCAGGCAAGCTGGTTAACCTCTTTGTAGCAGTCTCCTCCTGCGTAAAATAACTACTGTGACACCCATGTCACAGGGCTGTCTGGAGAATTAAATGAATACAGATAGGCAAGTTTCCTGCCACAGTGCATGCTTGGTTCATAGAAGGTGTTCAAGAAATTTTAATTCTTCTCCCCCTTTCAGTGGCACATCAAAAAGTTGAGCACAAACGGAAATATGGAGAAAATAGAGCGCTTCTAAAGTTCAGGGTTTTTTTTTTTTTATTGAACAAATAATAATACAATAATAGTACAACCAGATAATAACACTTTCTTGAAATTCATGATCGTACCCTCTGCTAAAGAGAGGAACTCTTAGCCCCAGTTCTCTCTTTAAAGCAGAACTTTTGACAAAATTAACAAAATTCCTTCAAATGTGTACTTCTAAACATTTTCAGAATCTGGTCATCCAAAATGGCTCCAACTCACAACGACACCTCCCACTATAAAATGACTTGGTTTCCTACACCACATTTTTAAAATATGGGGTTTTGTGGTTCACTGTGCCTCAAAGGTTTCTTTCAAGGGCCGGGAATAGGGAGAAATAAGAGGAACCAAAGAGATCATTCTGAGGAAAAAAGCAGGACCTGCCAAGTGTTCAGGGCTAGAAGCCTGAGAAGCACCATGAGCAGTCTGTATTTCGCTCCAGTCATTTTTAATGTTAATTAATCTTTGTGATGGATTTTAGCACATGTCCTAACCTAGTCATCGTAATGGCTTAAATCACCAGGTCAATTACTTTTGATCTGGTAGTTGTCATTACATAAATTCATCTTCAGTGAACAAAATAAACAAAATCGACAGCAATATAATATCAAAGCAAAATCTGTGCAAGTTTTAAAATTGAAGGAAGGAAACCTGACGTTCATTCAGGTACTCTGGAAACCTGTAAACTCAGGTTTCCTGTTTGAAAAAAAAAGGGAACCATTATCCAACAGAAATAGGCTTCATTATCACTGCTCACTGGATGTGTGGAGTTTTTCCCAGGAACCAAAAGACAGCAGTAGGATCCTAGGGGAAAGGACTTTTCCTGACCTGTAGAACCCCAGCTCTCAAAAAAAAAATTGAGTTTTCCCTAATAGCCAGGTTATATAGGGACTTTGGGAATTTTGAAACCATTTTAAGCCATGAGCCCATTTCCTGGTACCTACCATCGAAGTAACACTACTGCCTGATAAACAGCTTTACATCCACTGATCAGCCAGGGAGGGGATGCCATATGTGAGCATAATTGCTTCGAACATGTTGCTTTGAAGATAGCATGGGGTTCAGTATCTTTAGCTGCTACCGACTGGTTTTCCAGTACCAACTGGCCATTCCTTGTGCATAAAAAATATCCTGAGGACATGGACTTAACATCTTTTCTCTGCTCTCTCTTCAACTCTCTCATTTGACAGCCCACAGCCCACCCCAAGGATTAGAAATGGGTGTCTACCTTGTTCTCCAGCGAGTTGAACACGTTCCTCATCTCGTTGATTTTTTCATGAAGCTGCTCTAGAGAGGTTATGATCCCTCCATCCTGCCGCTGAAGGCGGGCTCCCACCGGAGGCAGGTTCAGGGAAGACTTGTACTTCGAAGCCTAGGGTACCACAGAGGGCATCTTAGGCTCAAAGAAATAGGGGAGAGGAGTCCGAATTCTTTCTATTTCCTGGTCTTAATTTCTGTTTCTCAATTTTCTTTACTTTCTTGGCTTCTTAACTTTTCTCAAGGTGAATTTTAATCAATGTCTTCCCGTCATTTTCCACCAAAGTTCCCTCAAACTAAATTTTCGTAAATTATGCAAGTTGTTCCAACTTGTTTTTCACACAGATTTGTCCTTCATTCTGTTCCATTATCAAGGTCAAAGTCTATTCTGAGGCCAACTCAGGGGACTGGGCCTGGGCCTTGAGATCCCTGCTAAGTCATAAATGTCAAGATTTGAGAAAGCTCCATAAGGCAGGCCAAATTCCTCCAACACCTGACTACAGGCTGTAAGAAGCAGCACATGATGGCAACGATGCCAACGTAATTGCTTTGGTTTTCCCCCCAACCAGGGTTTGTACAGAAGAAACATGGTCTTTCTGCCAGTTTTCATCGTCTTCATTTTAGGCCTGTTTAGTAATCCCCAGAAATATGATAATTTAAAACAAAAAGTGGGCAGCAAGTCATTTGAATAGTCAAGAGTAAGTTTCGCAAATCTACTCCTCTACACTCCCTGCAGAAGTTGACCCTTAATGTCATTCTTACAGGCCACTGCTGAAACTGCTATGAAGCATGGTGTGCCAGAAATTTATCTTATCGCTTCCTGGATGCACCACCGGCCTAGTAGAATTAATTTCTCTGAAGTTGGAAAATATTCCTTAAGGGCAATAAGAGACTGAGGCTCAAACGGGACTTACAAATCGTAGAAAACTTTCAATGGCAATTTTAATGATGAAACCTATTGCTGTAGGACTGGTTCCCATAGTTTTTCAGTTAGGGGTCCTTTTGGCACATAACTCGTTTTCTTAAATTATTTTCATTACAGAGAAAAAGAAAAAAGAAAAAAAAACACTTCACATCTCCTTACTTTAATACAACCGCAAATGTTTTGGCACATTTCCTTCTGTTTTGTTCTATGGATATAAATGCATACATTTATACATTTGAAATCATACTATGGATATATTTTGATCCTACCCCCTGCCTTTTCTGCCAAACACTGTTATAAACCCTTTCCTATAGCCTTCGATTTTTTTTCTCTGTGTCTATTTTTAATGGTTACTCAATATTCCATCCTATGGATGTGCCAGTTTATCCACCCATTCAGTTTTCTTGGAAATTTATGTTGTTTGTAATTTTTCAACATTATAAATAATGCTGACATATAATGCTTTTTATTTAAAGCTTGGTATGTATTTCAGATTATTTCCTTAGGATAAATTCCTAAATATGAAATTACTATGAGTTTAAGGACGTTGGGTAATATTTGACTCAAAGGGCTAAATTAGTGTATTTAGAAAAACATGTCTTGGACAAATACATAAAACGTAAGTAATATAAAGGGAGGAGGCTGCAATGTTTACATGTTACAGGTGAGCCAGAAACACAGTTGGAATTCACATCATTAGGCGAGAGTTGGGCTAGGACCAAATGGTGCAGTTACCACATCTGTGGCCTTGATTGCGGGACCCCACCCCCACTTCTCACGTTAATGGAATCTTATTTTAAAAATCCATGTGCAAAAGGAAGTAGTCAGGCTGCAGCAACACAATCTGACTCTGGAGAAGAGATTGGGTGAAATCTCAGAGGCCTATGTACAGTGAACAAAGGATGAGAGAAAATTGGAATAGAGTTGGATTCAAATAAAAGGGAATATGAGCTAAGGAGCAATCAGTGTATCCACACAGATTCACCGGTTCTGATAATAATACTGGAATGAACTGGGAGATGGTAGTGCTCATTCTCCTGTTGGCTGCCATGATCTGATTTGGGTCAATGTACCTTACTCACCAAGGAGGTCAAATCCATCTAAAGAGCAGGGAGCTGATTAGGGTTATGAACATTTTAACACTTTTACTGTAGTTTAAGAATTTTTGTAAAAGTTTCCAATTTACACACACTCATCAGAACTAAATATTATTAATTATTTTATTATTCACTAATCAGATTGTCATAAGCTTCAAAAGCCTCATCTTCTCTCCTACTTATTAGCTATCTGTAATTCTACTTTGGTAAATTATCTGTATCCTTTGCCCATACTCTACTGAGGTCTCAAGTTTCTTTTTTTACTGACTTGTATTAACTATTTATGTATCATTAAACCCTTGTATTTTTTTGTAAGAATTTTCCCCATGTTTTTATTTGCCTTTGAATTGGTTGAAAATATATTTACGTTGGGAAATTTTTTAATTGTTGTGATGTGGGTGAAATCTCTGGCCCTTTCCTTTGTGATTTCTTCCAGTGCTTTTTTACTTAGACATTTCACATCCAGAGACAAGATAAATATTCACTAATTCTAAATTTTATAGTTTGATTTTTTAATTTCTAGCCCTTTAATCCATTTTTGAGTTTATTTTGATTAATGTATGAAGTAAGAATCTCTTCTTTTTTGTCCCAAAGAAGAACCAGACAATTTTCCAAACATCATTTGACACCAGACTAAGTGACTACATCAGATCTCTTGGCTCAAAGCAATATACACATCTTGCAGATATTCATTCATTCATTCAACTAATATTTATTGAATATGTATTATATTCCAGGCACTGTACTTTATGCTGAGGATACAACAGAGAGCAAAATGTACTAAATCCCTGCCCTTGGAGCTTACACTCTAGAGAAGGAAACAGACAATTTAAAAAAGTAAAGAAACAAGATAATATTTAATGTAATTTCAGGTAGGGATGGGGGTTTATCAAGAAAATAAAGTAGATAGAAAATGGCTAAAACATCATATTTTGCTTCAAATTTCATATTTTGCTCTCCATTTTTGGTATGGATTGTGTTCTATTATAGTTAACCTCTCCCTGCTTCCCTCCTTCCTCTTCCTCTTCTTCTTTCTTTACTTCTCCTCATCTTCTTTTGGTTAAATGTTGCTTGGAGTAAACAGACTGGGGTTTAGGAAGCATTCTTTTAAAACAAGGATGGGGTTATAACCACATTGTCACAGAGGTCATATAGACCAACTTCGCTTCCACTGCTTCATCTGTTTCATTTGTTCCACTGCGAACAGATGTACTTGGATTTGTGAGACAGTAAGAGAATGAGGCCACCCCCTCCCACTGCCGCTATATTTAGCCAACATTCAGGGAGTGACCTACATAAAATCTATAATAGACTTTAAATCCTACCTAAGTTTAAAGACATACTCACAGTCATTCCAATGCCCTACACAGGTCAGATGTGAACAGAGGGGAGGTGGGCAGGGAAGGCATTTGGAGGTCGTGGACAAATGAGGCATCAAATCAGCACTGAGTGAAGACTCACTCCTGCTTCCAGGCCTTTGTTCAAGCTGGTCCCCCTGCTTGAAACACTCTTCCCCATATCCACTTACCAAATGACCAATCTGTCCTTAAATGCCTGGTTCACATCTTTCAGCCAATATTCATTCATCCCTCCGCCACATCAATGCCTCTGTTGTAATCCTTCCAACAGCCTGTTTGAGCTAATTATTGTATATGTTGTCCAGGTGGCGGACACTTAAAAATCAATAGCAAATGCCTGTTGCATCTGTTTTATTTCTTATTAGACCAAGCAGTTGATTTTACACATAGTAACTGCTCAATAAATACGTAGTAAATTGAAATGGAGCTGTTTCTTCTACCCCTTCCCACTGCTGGTCTTGGTCTAGGAGCGGCACGACTACAAAAATGTTTTCATAATCCTGTGTTGGCTCGCCCTGCTTGGCCCACAGCAATGATCTCTTGCATGAGATTTCTGGGCACTAGTTATTTGCACTTTACTGTCACTTAAACTCAACAAATCTAAATAACATTTCCCCTAAAACTCTCCACTCTTCTGGATTCCTATTGCTCTTTTCTTTATCCTTACCAACGCTTAAAACTTTACAGCCAACTTTGAAATCACTCTTTCTCCCAGCCCCCACCAAGCCCTGCTAGTTCTTTCTTCCCTCTCCTGCATTCCAGGTAACAGTGCCTTAACTCTAGAGAGGAGCATGGAGTTTCCTAGCCCAAGCTTCTTTTATATTACAAATTACATCAGAATAAAACATCCATGATTTTTAAGGACAGAATTTTACTTTAAATTTACATTTAAAAGACAGACACCAAATAAATACTGTGTAGAAAGCGAAAGCAGCCCCAAGTGACCCCTGTTGCAAACATATTATAAAATGCTTTGCAGAATTTTTATCTTCCTTGGAAATTAAATTATTTCCATTGTTTAAAGGGAGCTTAACATTTTTTTCGATCACCCTATGTGAACATCTGCAATGTTAACCTGCTTTCAATTCTCAATTCTCCCTGCTGAAATAGTAAACCAAGAAAAACAGAGCTTGCTCTCTCCTCCTCTCTCATGGAGATGGCATCGCACTGTGTCATGGCCAGAGTGATGATGGCGACAGGCAAGGAAACTGGAGTGGACGTGGGAGTGGTCGTGCTGTAATTTAGAACCTGGATAAGCTGTCCTTCACTGAACAGCTTTCTCAAAGGTGCAACGTGAGCGGCACTCTCTGCCCTGCCTACCTCAATAATGGATGTGTAGGCACTTGTGAGTGCTAGAAAACTTTATACGTAAGCGACAGTCATCACCATCACACACAGGAGTGTTCAAAACAATCTAATTGTCTTTACCTGGTAAATCTGTGTGGAAGGGTTATTCATCGGCATATGTTCATTCTCTCCTGTAGGAAGAAAGAGCTTTGTTCAATGAACGTGACTCATTCTGTCCCTATCCTCTTCACACACATGCAGGGAATAAGGGGACTCATAGGACTCATAGGACCCTGGCTGCATGACAAGAAACCAATGATACAAGAACAAAACATAAGCTGGTGTAAGTGGTTTCTATATTCACATCCTAATAACCTAATCATATCTACCCGATACAACTCTTGTAGTAAAAAACAAAACAAAACAGGGGCGCCTGGGTGGCTCAGTTGGTTAAGCGACTCCTTCGGCTCAGGTCATGATCCTGGAGTCCCTGGATCGAGTCCCCGCATCGGGCTCCCTGCTCAGCGAGGAGCCTGCTTCTCCCTCTAACCCTCCCCCTGTCATGTACTCTCTCTCTCTCATTCTCACTCTCTCAAATAAATAAATAAATCTTAAACAAAACAAAATATGTTCTACCACAGTGGGGAAGTTTCTCAACCAAACTGAATGATTAGTGATTATTAATCAACCAGAAGGGAATACCCGTGAAGGGTTCCCTCATGTTCTTGGGGCTGACAGGAGTTTACTTGAGGGGTAGTTTTATACTCAGGAAGGCCACACCAGACACCTGTCCAGTTGTCACTCTGTTGTTTTCAGGAAGCCTGCATAAAATGTCCTTGCCAAACTTCTAAGCTCTCCCCTCCTGTCACTGCCCAGATCAGCTAAGGTAATCTTACTGTGTTCCTGGGCAAGAGGGTCAGTAAAGGGAATTGTCAATGGAAAGATTCTGGGAAGGATGCAGGCAGAAAGAAAAGAATATTGGCAACACTAGAGACTGTGAAACACAGGGCAAATACAAAGGAAGTAGTAGGTTATAAAAACCACTTACAAACTGGGGAGAAGAAAAGGTTGGCTTAATACTTTTCAGAACCACACTGGTTGGCCATGAAGACACGACAATCCATGTAAAACATGCAGCTCATTTCTCATCCACTTAGTTATATTTCCATTGTGTCACATCGTATGAATCAAGCAGTTTATAGATGAAAGCACCAGTTGCAAATATTTGGTTGTGTGGATATGTATACTGTTCTCTTAAGACATACTGGTATAGAAAACCCTTCCTTAGAGGAACCAGCCTCAGTGTATTAAGTTCATAAATAATACATGACCTCAGCCTAGAACTTATACAGACAGAAGGCTGTTCCTATAAAATCCAGGTGGTTTGACCTCCAAAGCTCCTCACACAAGCTTAGGTAAAGATTACTTAGCCCATTTTATACTGTGTCCCAACAGCCTGGTATCATGGCAAGAACCAGAACATGAGAACAGAAACCAGGCTCCCAGATCAAACTTTGACATTTTGTGATTGTAGCCTGACTCCTCTATGAATGTTTCTTACCTGTAAATTGGAGGTGATAACAGAACTATTTCTATATGGTTGATTCGATATGGTAAAGATAAAAAGAGAGAGCACTTATGTTTCTAGAAAATGTTGGATGTTTATTAGTTGAATCTGTATCTTGGCCTTATTCAGCAGGTTGTTCTGAAGCAAGTCCTAAAGTTATTGCTAAGAAAAATAAGATAACTACTCAGACCAAATTATACATATAGCATTTCCTGTTTCTCCAGCACCAAGTCTGTGCTCTTCATGGTCATTATATGATGATAAGGAGATGAGAATAGTCAAGGTGACATATTCTCATGTTTTGATACAATGGAAGAGAAGACTGAAACCTACATTTCTTAAATCCCGAGATCTAAAGCAAGACATAGGAAAAAGTCTAACCTTGCTTTGTTTTGGTCTTTTCCATGGTGCCTGTTGCTTCTTTCCTCCAGCTGATTCTTTAACATTACATCCTCATTGTCCCTGGATCAGGCCACCCCTTCTTCTCTGGACCTGGCAATTGAAATCAAGAATAAGGGATAGCAGGTAGAACTGGTGAAATAACTGGACTTACTTTATGTGTTAACTTAAAATAATTGAAATGAACACAGCTATTAGAGACAACTTAAGGTTTGTGTAATTTCAGAAGAGTAAAAATATCAAATTAATATTTAGTTTAAAGGTTAAAGGTAGGGCGCTTGGGTGGCTCAGTTGGTTAAGCGACTGCCTTTGGCTTAGGTCATGATCCTGGAGTCCCAGGATCGAGTCCTCTGTCAGGCTCCCTGCTCAGCGGGCAGTCTGCTTCTCCCTCTGACCCTCCCCCCTCTCATGTGCTCTCTCTCTCTCATTCTCTCTCTCAAACAAATAAATAAAAAATAAAAATAAAAAATAAATAAAAGTTAAAGGTATTTTGTAAATAAATATGAAATTCATGACTTAAAATTATGGCAGTTTTTAATATTACATTCTTTTTTGGATCAAATTAATTACTTTAGGCCCATTAATTTTATTAACAGGTTATATTTTAGGGAGATCATCTTAAGAAGAAAAATCTTAAGCAAGTATGAAGGCCAATACATCGGTTTCTATTTCATTACACAGTAAATGCCCTGATGACCTCGTTCCCACTTTTGGCATCTGGTAGACCACTGTACACACAGGAGGTGTTGCCAGATGTGGCCTGGTTGTAGTGATCTTCAGACATGAAGCCGCATGTTCAGAATGCAGTCTAACAAACAAACATAACCATCAGTGTTGTGGACATTGGCCCTCTTTTTGACCATCTAGAATTTCAACCCTTTCCAATGATGGGGGAATCCTCCCATCTTATGAAGTTTGGTTAAGCCTCTTGCTCTAGAGGCTGAAAGTGGCAGGTTCTCCTAGCCTCTCTTGCAGCTTAGGCATGAAGGCCACATGACCTAGGATATGCCCCTCAGATTTACTCACTCCAGTTGATACTGGCAGTTACAGAAGGATTTCCTAGGACAGATGTACTGGATGTACTTTGTTCTTTTTAAGAAACGGAGTTCTCAAAACATCAGTGGAAGCAAGGGTGCTGGAGGTGACCATGATCTGGTATAGAGCTGAGGTAACTCCAAGTGCTGCTTGTGGTGCTTTCCTCACCAGAAGAGCTGTACTCTATGATTTGGGGCATTGTTGCTGGCTGCATAATCCCAGTCTTGTTCTCCAGTCTCCCAGCAATTCTTTTTTTTTTTTTTTAAGATTTTATTTATTTATTTGACAGAGAGACAGAAGAGCACAAGCAGAGGGAATGGCAGAGCGAGAGCAGTCTCCCAGCAATTCTATGAGCTGCCCACATCCTTTCAGCAAACTCCTTTGCTGCTGAAATCAGCCAGAGCTCTTTTCTGTTGTGTGCAACTGAGAAACCTGATTGAAACTATCAAAATATATTAACTCTATCCAAGATTGAGAAAATACAAGTCAAAAATGTGTTCATTGCTCTAGAAAGGACATATCTAACCTATAGTGACAAAATGCAGATCAGTAATTACCTAGGATAGGAGGTGGGGCTTAACTAGGAAGAGGCACAGGGAACTTTTTAGGGTGATAGAAATGTTCTATTGCTTAACTGTGGTGGTGGTTATATAGGTGCATACATTTGTCAAAACTCATAAAAATGTATGTTTTCATTGGGTGCATTTTATTCTCTACAAGTTACACCTCAAGAAAGTAGAATTAAAATTTTTCATTCAGGGGTGCCTGGGTGGTGCAATCAGTTAAACATCCAACTCTTGGTTTCAACTCAGGTCATGATCTCAGGGTCATGACATGGAGCTCCAGGTCAGCTCCATGCTCAGCATGGAGTCTGCTTGAGATTCTCTCTCCCTCTTCCTCTGCCCCTCCCGCTCATGCTCTCACGTTCTCTCTCTCAAACAAATAAATAAATCTTAAAAAAAAAAACCTTTTCATTCATATATTGAGGTCTGTAAAGCAAAATAATAAGTTGGCAGGGGCAGAAGTGTTAACATGAATGAAAAAGCAGTGTTCAACAGCTATTTAATTATAAGTGAGGGATATCAAGATAGTCAAGGCTATACAGTCTTTGAAATCTTGTACATTTTTCATGTGAATATGAAAGTTACATCAAGGTGGGGCATCTTCTTTAGTTATCTGAATGTCTTTTTTTTTTTAAACATTTTATTTATTTATTTGAGACAGAGAGAATGAGAGAGAGAGAGCACATGAGAGGGGGGAGGGTCAGAGGGAGAAGCAGGCTCCCTGCTGAGCAGGGAGCCCGATGCAGGACTCGATCCAGGGACTCCAGGATCATGACCTGAGCCGAAGGCAGTCGCTTAACCAACTGAGCCACCCAGGCACCCTATCTGAATGTCTTGTACAGCTGATGTAAGTATTACTCAGATGAAAACTTTCTTCTCCTTAGCAATTGTTCACCTGTTTGATATCTAATGGATTCTATGATGTATGTAAATTAAATCACGGAATGTTAGAGCCAAAGGCCATGAGAAAATTACTTCATCCAGCTTCTTCATTTATAGGTGAAGCAACTGAGGCCTAGGGAGGGGAAGAGAGATGACCTGCCCTATGCCACGAAGCTTTGGAAAATTACTGTTAGAAGTGACGTCTGTTACTGCTTAGGGGGAAAAGAAATCTTGAAATATGTAAAGTCATGTTTTTATGGATAATTATTACCTAGGGATTTAGTTATCTAATCTACAACTAATTGAAACAATCTGAAAATACCTCTCATGTGTCATAGATAAAATGTAAATGTACAGATTTTCAGAGTTAGGACATCCTCAAGCTCACATATATACCTATGGTAACTGATTTCAAGACATAATAAAAAGTGTGTGGTTCACATAAAGTAAATTAGAATTTTTATTTTATTTATTTATTTACAAAAGCAACAAAACTACATTAGAGAAAATTTAGAAAATACAGAGGAAAAAAACAACCATAGTGCCTCTAGTTAAACAACCGTGACGATCGTTCAGCTGTGTTGCTTGCCAATCTTTTTTCTCTTGAATGTTTCACACGATTGCTAATGGACCTATTGGCATCACTGTTTCACCTACATTATAGCATAAGTGTTTTACTTTCTTTTTAAAAACTTGGATCCTTGTTACTCATGTTTTTATGGTGGCCATTTGAACAGAGAGTTGGAGTGTTCTTCCCAGTCCCGATCAGTGTTAACAATCTGCTAGTGTTCTTCCATTCCTCTCTCCATCCTCATATAATCTCATACACACATATACACAGAATATACATGTCATTGTAGATTCAAATGAGACCTCCCTGCTTCTTATTTCTTTCACTTAATAATACATCATGGCAATCTTTCCAAATTAATTGGTATAGATCAAATAAATTATTATTTTTTTACGATTTTATTTATTTATTATTTGAGAGAGAGAGAATGAAAGACAGAGAGCATGAGAGGGAGGAGGGTCAGAGGGAGAAGCAGACTCCCCGCCGAGCGGGGAGCCCGATGCGGGACTCTATCCAGGGACTCCAGGATCATGACCTGAGCCGAAGGCAGTCGCTTAACCAACTGAGCCACCCAGGCGCCCCTCAAATAAATTATTTTTAATGGCTGCATAGTATCTGAGGTACAAATGACCTATGTTAATGATTTCTGTATTGATGTACATTCCCTCTATTTCCATTATTTTGACTCTGCAAACAGTGCTATAACAAACAGCTTAGTACATAGAGCTTTACACATTGGTGTTCTTAATTATGTGGGGTTTTAACAGATACAACTAGACTGTTTCATAAAAAGGCTCATCTCTCCCAAGAATATGGCATGAGTACCTCCTCTCCTGTATCCCAGCCTATAGTGAATGTTAACACTTTTTAGTTCTTGCCCATGAGGTGAGTGACAAGTGATATTTCATAGTTACTTTTGTTGATTGCTAGCGCTACTGAGCATCTCTGCATGCACTTACTGTACATTTAGATTTGCTGCTTTGGGATTATCTATTCCTCTCCTTTGCATATTTTTCCATTGGGTCATCTGTCTTTTCCTTATCAATTAGTAAGAATTTTCACATAAGAGAGAGTAGATTTTTGTCATGTGAATTTTGAGTATTTTCCCCATCTGTCTTTTTTGTCTTCTGACTTTGTAGTCACTTTTGCTATTGAAACATTTTTTAAAATTTATGAAGTCAAATAGATCTTGTTCCTTATTTACGTCTAGATTTCTTGCACTGCTTTAAAAGCTCTCTGCAGCCCCAAGATTTTATATACATGTTTCCCTAAATTTTCTTCTAAGGCTTTCATTATTTTTAAGTGTTTAATTCATTTGGAACTTATTATATGTGGCATGAGGGAGTGTTCGATTTGTTTGTCTTCCAGATGGATAACTGTTTGTGCCTGCTCCAGTCATTATCTAGCCATCCTTTTCCTTCATAGAATTTGAACATTATTTTTGTCACACATTAAATTCCCATATACACAGAGATCTCTTATGGGCCCTCTGTTCCATTCTGATCTCTCTGTTGCTGTTCCCAAATCACAAATTATAGATGTTCTTCTGTGTTTTAAAGATATTTGGTAAGGCGGGGCGCCTGGGTGGCTCAGTCATTAAGTATCTGCCTTTGGCTCAGGTCGTGATCCCGGGGTCCTGGGATTGAGCCCCACTTCGGGCTCCCTGCTCAGCGGGAAGCCTGCTTCTCCCTCTCCCACTCCCCCTGCTTGTGTTTCTGCTCTCACTGTCTCTATCTCTATCAAATAAATAAAATCTTTTAAAAATATATATATTTGGTAAGGCAAGTCAACTATTATTTTTTTATAATTTGCTTCACTTGACATTTATTTTTCCATATGAATAAATGAACTCCAAGATCATTTTACTCATTACAAAAAAAAATGGGATTCCCATTGGAATTGTATTAGATTTATATATTAATTTGGGACAACTGATCTTTTTTTTTACATCAGATCTTGTCATCCAAGAGCATGTATATTCTTTCCATTTGACTGGATCTTGCTTTAGGTATTTTGATCAGATTTTATTGTTTTCTTCTTAA